CATATATATTATAGTATATAGACAATCGGATATGTACTGCTAAATAGTGCAAAATATCTACCATCAGTTTATTTCTGAATAAAATGGATTAAAAGAATATTTAGAATTTTCCACACCCACCTCGCCCCTTCCACAGTTCGATTGGAATGAGATAAAAAAAAAAACTTCTTGAAAAATGTTTAATAACAAAATCCCTTCTTTTTTCGCTCTGTGTTTCATCCAACCATCTCGAGTTACATTATCAAGATTGACGTTTGACCTAAAGAATAAGAGTTTCCGAGTGTCCAGCCAATCAAGGACCTCTACAAAACCTGTTACGACAAATAATCACTTGTTTATATTATTTATCAAGTCGGAATACAGGGGGTTTCCCTTCTTCTTTTGGCTCATTGGTAGATTCTTTGCTGTAGACTATTTTGGATTCGCAATTTCTTGAGGGCATATGCATTAATATCGTACAGATTAAGTTATTAGCATCGATTATTGGTAAGTTACTCTCTTCATATGTGTTTTAAAATTTTATTTTAAGAAAATGAGTAGATTTATTCTTACTAATTAGCATTACATATGTATGTATAATGCTATGCTAAAAACTAAACTCTTAAAAATTACTAGAAAAATAATAATAATTCCATCAGAGAAATAATATGCAGTCAGATTTCTGACATTAATTTCAACCATGAAGTTGATGATAGTTTTAATTAAATGTATTTATAATAATGAAACATGCAACAGAATAATAAAAATTTACAAGAATAGTTTATAGATTTTTGATTAAAAAATTATTATACTTATTTCGTTTTATTAATACCCAAGACCAGAGCCATCGCAAGGGTAGGTAAGCAGCATATTTTTACAAGGCTCTGTAATTTTAGAACTCTAAGGGATACCGTGCAAGTAATATTCAAAAAAGTGTTTTTTTTTTAAATATTACAAAATTTTTGATTTTTTTTTTAAATTTTACTTTTATTTGTGGAAATTTCGAAAATTTCTTAAAAATCTCTCGATTATATTAATGGATAACATACGCATTGTTTCTCAAGACAGTGGTGTAAATATTTCATGAAACATCATAGAAATCAAAAATCATGGTAATCATTATAGCCGGCTTTGAACAGTCAACCTACATTTGGATTTATGACTATATTATTGTCAATTTCGTAGCATTGCCATTTTGAAAAAAAAATCCAGAAGACAAGGGAACTCCTGAATCTAATCATAGAACAAACTAGCTCTCGGCATTTTTTTGATAGAAATTCGCATTCGCGTTAAATGGGGAGAAAAACCTCCCACGGTTAGCCGAAAGGCAAGGGGATCGTAACCCATAATTCGTCTACCACTAAGGATATTTTATATCAGAATTTAAGTCGTTGTGAGTCGGAAAAGGATTCGTATCGGCCAACCATCATTGAGATTCGGATCCGTCACGAAATGAAAATCTGACTAGTTGTCCATGGGATGTTTGAACAATGGATTGTTTCGAACAATCATCTTTCAAATAATCTGTGGTTAAGTTAAAATCCGAACTGAAACTTTTAAAATCCGAACTGAAACTTTTAGAATCCGAACTGAAACTTTGATGTTAGCGCATGCGCGCGTCCATTCGAGAACCTCCCCTTAAGACTTTTATGTTAGTTGGATCTGGATGTAAGATGTTATGTATGTCTGCTTGTTAATCATATACCATTGTTGATGTTGTTAGGCCATTATAATATGTTCTTAAATAGTGCTGGTATTATCCTGATTATTATTATATAACCAGTATTGCTGGTATTACCAGTGACTTGCACCCTGTTTCCTTCCGCAATCAAATTGCTCTCCTGTACTGTGTGATTTGTTAGCATTTTTTTGTATTTTTCCCCTTGCTCCAGTAAAGTGATCCCTAATGTTTTTAGTTTTCATTCTTGAAAAAAATTCGAATTTCGAGAAGAGTGGATTTTACAGATACCTAGATTGACCGAAATCAAGAGAATGTCGACCTTCGCCGGTGAATGTACGAAATATTTGTTATATCCGATTTGATATTAATGTATTCATTGATATTATTATATTTATTCGATATTTTAATAGCTGCTGAAGATAGATTAGGAGAAGCATCAGTGTTCGAAGTAACCATACTGGGCAGTGTTACTTCACCTTTCCTTAAAAAAACATTGATGAAGGCATACAGAACTGTTGCACTCAACTAGACCTAGTATATATTTCGAACATTTACCAAAGCGACTATATGATTGTCAACATTCACCGATTTCGGTCATTCACAGGTCACACACATATGTATCTGAACACTGTTTTGAACTTTTAAAACGATGGGATTTAATGATTTTTATATTTTTTTATGGCCATATAAACATTAGATACATATTTTTTATTACAATTTAATAATTGAAATTATTAAATACATTATCAACTGAAATATTATTGGTTCCAACTATAAATTTAAGTTATGAACGCTAAATAAATTTTTTTTCTAGTATGTAGTTTTTCTGACACTTAGCGTGGAAACATTAAGAATGCAGCTTTGTTAAAAATCAATTAACATTTTTAAAAAATTATCAAATTTGAAATTTTTAGTTTAAGATGCGTTTATTTCATTAGGAAAAATCTTAAAAATAGAAAAGTCGATGTTTATCCTCTAATATGTCATTAATATACTATATGAATGCTGTTGTAACGAGCCCTCATCCCCCTCATACCAGAAAACTATCCCCAGATGGCGCCACTGGCGCAACAGAAATAATAACTTTTTATTTCTCAAAAAACTTAAAAACAGTAGAAGCAGATGTAATGTAACTAGAGACGCGCCATGCAGCGCTAATATCTAACTCCATGTTTTCATCACTTTATAATCATCATTTACCATTTCTTGTAAATTCATCTTCATCTATTTGTAATTAACCAATAAAGGCTTATGAATCATCAAATTGGCGGTCTAAAGGTAAGTGGAACATTTTCCACTATTCATATTGAAAACAGGAATTCATTTTAGATTGAACAGCTGTCTTACTTTATTTCTAAATTGTCTATCCAAAAACAAACTTAATGTAACCCAAATTAGCTATTTCAGGGATGAGATTCTTTCGCGGATTTCCGCTTTTTTTCAGATGTTTCCATTTTTCCCGCTAATTTCCGCTGAAATATTTTTTTTACACAAGTTAAAATATTTTATGAGGAATTTAATTTTCCGCGGAGGGAAATTATTGAAGTCCCTTTTCCTCCCTCTGAAGTTTCTCTAAAAATCATTTCCTTGGGATAAAACTGGTTGACCTTTATACAGGGATGAGATTTTTTTTGTCTCTCGAATTTCAGCCTTTTTATCAAAAACTCCGATTCTCTAAAAGTTTCGTTTTTTTAAATAAATATCCCGTTTTTTTTAAATTCAGTCATTGAAGTAAAATAATTATATTTATTTACGATTTTCAAAGATAAACAGAAAATTCAATCTACGCCCTAGCTGCTAACCCTTCCGCATTTTTACTTATTTTAGCTATTTTCTCCGATTTCACGCACAGAAAATAAGATTTTCCGTATTTTTTATCCGTCGGCTGGATAGCTCGTATTTTCGTAATTCAGATCTCGATTTTTATTCACGCGATTTTAATATCAATCATCGATTTTCGTATTTACCTGATTTAAAAGTTGCACATTGCGATTCTTATTTACGCTATTTAAATATCGTATATTATGATTCTTATTTACGACATTTAAAAATCCAATATCGTGTTTTGTATTTATGCATTTTTAAAATCGCGATTTTATTATCAAATCTCGATTTTCGTATTTACCTGATTTAAAAGCTGAACGTTGCGATTCTTATTCAGGCGATTTAAATATTGTACATTGCGATTCTTACTTACGAGATTTAAAAATTCAATATCGCGATTTGTATTTACGAGCTGTTGAAGCCCTGTGTAGCAATTCGTATTCACGCGAGCTTAAAATCCAATATCGTGATTCGTTTTTGTGGTTGTAATATCGTGCGATTTAAAAATTATGCATCGTGATCAAAAAATTAAAAAAACATGATTTGTATTTTTTTTTTTTAATTTCCTTTCTGACTACTCTCATCCCTGTATTATATAAACACGACTTTTCTTGTCCAATAGGAATTATTTAAATTCTTATCTTCCCATGTGGCAGAATTTTTTTGGGCTTTTCTGCAACCAACTTCTCTAGCACTAATATTTTTCTACAAGATACTTTTAATCATAACAATTACTAATTTAAAGTAACAAAAGCGTTGGGTTCATAGAATAAAGTATAGAATAAAAATGCTTAAAATTTTTTTTAACTGTAAATGTAATATTTTTTAATTCTAATATTATAGGCTATATTCTCGCATTTTGTTGGCGGAAAATTATTATTTCCTAATTATTTCCTCTTTCGAATTTTGTAAATCATTACATAAATTAAAATTCGAAAATAAATTAAATTATGATAAATTAAAATTCGAAATTAAATTAAATTATTATAAATTAAAATTCGTACATAAATTAAAAATCGTAAAATGTGTGGCAGGAACATCCGAAATAAAGAGTACTGTTTCGTTTCGAGATTCGGTTGTTATGATAAATAATATTAAAAATACGATAATATCTTCGTATTATAGAAATCTGATGATGCTGTTATATTAGAGAAATAAATCAATGTAAAAATTCATGAAATCAGAAAAGTTAACATTCTTTATTTATGCGTTAAACAGGATCTCTCGTTTGCTAAAATTATTATTAATTAGTCACACATCTTATGATTTTTAGCCTGCAATTTTCCTCAAATGTATGTTCGTATTGTTATACAGGGTGCTCGGGAAATAAAACAGTCAAATATCTGATGAAATGTACGCATCAAATAAAAAATCTAAAAATATGTGGAAATTTTTTGTAAATAATTTTAAAGTTTCAATGATGATAACTACCCTCCCCCCCAAAGAAAAATCCACATCGACGGGATCGTTCTGCGGGTAACAACGCCAAAATTTTAAACAGAATCCTCCATTTTTATTGTAGACTTGGATTTACAAAAATGACTGTCCTTATTTTTGATAACAAAAAGCGCTGTAATCGATTAAAATTATGTAAAATAGAGAAGATGGAAAAAATAAATATGGATGTGTTTGATATTGTGAAACAACAAGTGTAAAACAACTGAGTTCGATTCTCAACCGCTGTTCCGTGGGTGGGGATGGGAAAGCCTTCTAAATCTGAACTATTGCAGATTTGAGTTCTTCATAAGTAATTTCATTTTTAAATTATGAATTTCGTTTGTAAGCATCTATTAAATGATATTTCATTTCAAGTAAATAAAAATGAGTTTAAAAAAACTACTTTATTATAGATTCCATTCGGCACCTGAAAATTAGAATCATTTTTGAAATCATAGATAGATCAAACACTTATTTTTTTATTACTGTATTTTGGTCTGAAATGAATTTTACACATCTTCACAATTTAAAGTTTCTTCTAAGTGCAATCAATTTTTGCACTACAAAATAACACATTCACCCAAAACAGCGGCGGTTGTATGCCCAATTGGGAGAATCCTCAATAATAAATGAGTGCTCCTTTGCACACTCGAATGGGAATGATCCCTCCACTATAGGGATGATATGGTATCATTCACTCATAATTATACTTACAAAATGATACAGTTTTGATTGTTTCTTTTGGATAGCCTGTTTTCTGTGTTTTTAAGTAATTTATCCTGTATTGAAATGTAGGCATGATACCTGTGTTGATCTTCGTGGCAATCGGCGCTGCAGGAGTTTTTGCAGGATCCGATTGCCCTCCTCGAGTAGATGTATACCCTTGCATCTGCATTAACACTAAATTGACCGGAAAGAGGCACCCTTCGACTACCCTCATCTGCCAAGGTCTGAGGAAAACGGATGAGTTGGGTGCAATTCTTTATGTTCTGAAAGATTTGGAGATAGATAAATTCGTCATGTACGATTCTTTCTGGGAGGCGCAACAACTTGGAGCTACGGGTGATAGTCAAAGTGTTCTACCTAATAATTGGCTAACGTTGACCACCATCAAGGAAGTTGAGATAGTCGATAGTACACTATCACCGTGCTTTGCCTGCAGTATGTCACTCATGTGCAGAAATTCTGTTACTACTAGGTAAGTACACTTTACAAATTTGTAGTGAATCTTAACACCAAAAATGATGGCAATGACTTTACACTAAAGTGGTGTAGTGAAACACCGTGTATTTACCGCCACTGTAAAAAATTTTAGTGTATCTCAACACCAAAAATGGTGACAACAGCTTTACACTAAAATGGTGTAGTGAAACACCGTGTATTTACCGCCACTGTAAAAATTTGTTGTGTATCTCAACACCAAAAATTATGGCAACAACTTTACACTAAAGTGGTGTAGTGAAACACCGTGTATTTACCGCCACTGTAAAAAATTATAGTGTATCTCAACACCAAAAATGGCAGCAACAGCTTTACATTAAAATGGTGTAGTGAAACACCGTGTTTTTACCGCCACTGTAAAAAATTATAGTGTATCTCAACACCAAAAATGATGGCAACAACTTTACACTAAAATGGTGTAGTGAAACACCGTGTATTTGCCGCCACTGTAAAAAATTGTAGTATATCTCAACACTAAAAATGGTGGCAACAACTTTAGACCGAAATGGTGTAGCGAAATACGATATAACGATATACGATACGATACGATATAACCCCTAACGGTAAAAGAGATGTTAGTGTATCTCAACTCCAAAAAACAGTGGAAACTACTTTACACCAAAGTAGTGTACTGAAACGCCTTATAGTTTGTCTACGGCAAGAACTCCCCCTGCCACAAAGTCAGAGGTCTGCTGCTATGGAAACAAAGATAGCTCATTTCAGGGAGGGTAGCTTCTAGTACCGAAGTAAAAAATTTCCTTTCTCTCACTGACCCGAGCCAAAACCTGTCCTAAACAGTGACCCCACACCCCTACTTGAAATAGTTATACCTAATTACCATAGTCACCGCCATGGGTCCAGACGAATGGATAGGGGAGTTCTTACTTTAGAAAAACTATATATAACACTTGGATGTAGGAGTTTTATCACACCAAGAACAGAGGATTATTCTTGGTCAGTGGTCGGAAGTTGCGCGCTATAGGTAGCGAAACTACTGTAGTCGCTATTTCCCCCCCGTAGTTTGTAGTGTTGTAAGCTACTTTTTAAAAGAAGTAAAGTAGTGATTCCTGGTAACTATTTTTAACTTTAGTTAAATAAAGAAACTAAGTTCAATTTCAAAAAAAAAAAAATTCGAATCTGATAGGTGCAAATCTTTTGCAGGCCCGTCAACGTACGCAGTGAGACTACCTCTGTGTACCGTTAATAAGATTTACGTCTGAGGCTCAGAAAAATCGGTCGAGTTGTACCTGAGAAATCATATTTTAACTATATGACTTTTTTAAAATTCGATTTCTCAGGAGCTGTAAAATACATTTTTGTGTCTGATGTCGTAACATAAAATATCGCCTGCATTAAAAAAGAAGCATAGTCACCCCCTCAAACCATTAACATAAAGAGTCCTAGAACGTTTAAATCCGATCATTATATCAAAAGTTATTCAGGGTTATACAATTTTTTGTTTTTCACACTACACTTTATTTCTTGGAGGATATTAAAAAAAAAACATTGATCACTTAAATTACTAATATTTGATAATTTCCTAGTATTTCTTAAATCACTGTCGAGAAAAGCATGAAGTTCGAAAGTTAAAAGAACAAAATCGTAAATAAGTGCTTTAGAATAAAAAAATTACTTCAAATAAAAATCAATTAAAACTTCTTAATATCTCCTCATATTTAACCAAGTCAATTTTTATTCAAAATTATTTTGAATATTAGTAAAAATTAAATTCTCCAGTTATGTTTCTCTTCTAAAATTAACGAAGTCTTGTCTACATTTCGAAAGTAATTTGTTGTCGCTATATTTAAAATATTTAAAAAAAAGTAGATGGAGTTAACTACAATTGTAATAAAAATTTTGTAAGTGAAAATCCAAATATTTGCCCGTACTTAATTAATGTTTTTATTTTTTGAGCAATATAAAATGCATTAAACATAAATACCACTTCATCTTTTAAACCTCGTCGAACACTATGTGCTTTAAGTACATTTTACAAGTTGTCCAGAAAATGAATCTCGTGATTTAAAGAACAAATAATTTAAATTGATAAAACCATTTTTTTTAAAATATTCTTAAAAATTTAATACATATCGCTGGTTCAAAACTAAAACGACACTTCTGCACTCACTTCTCATGTTATTTGAATGAGAAGTGAGTGCAGATGTGTCGTTTTAGTTTTGAACCAGCGATATAACATCTAGCTTGGATGCAAACGACAGGCGTGCAGATTGCGGGGAAAAAACTATTAGTTGTTTTTCTAGAATAATTACTGCCATAATATTTTAATCGATTCAGAACGTGCATACATTTCCAAGATAGAGATAGTACAATGGAAAGTACCAATTTTAGCATTGTTGGGTTCAGTTAGAAAGGTTGCAAACACTAACTGCACACTGGATTGATGAAAATGGTACTTGCATCTATGGAAATGTTCTGAATCGACTGCGATATTTGTATTTTTCGATAACATAAATTTGAGGCCATTTTATTTCCTTTTCAGAATCTTTCACTGCAGTGAAAACTGTATAAGTGTACCACTCACGAAGCAACAATTAAATAGAGATGTGGAAAACTTATAAAAAAGCGCTTTACTAATTTATTTCTTCATTAAGACCAATCAGCATACAGAGATTGGTTAACATGTTCTTCGAACAGCTCTTTCTCCAACTGTTTTAATTCCCGAATCGAACAGAAATTATTTGCAGGGCTTTTTGTTTCGTGTAACGATAGAACATTTAAAATAAAACAAAATCTATAACAAAAAATTGTCATTTTATCATATATTACTTTGCAATTTTTAGCCAAATAACTGAGTGAAAAATGGTCTATATTAAAACTGAAAATACGTAATAGAAAAAAATGTTATTCATAAAAATATTTCCTGAACTAAACAGTTTTAATATATTTCTCTTGCAGCTTCAAAGTGGTGAACAGTTCGTCGTCAGATAAGATCTGCACCCTTTGTAACACAGGTAGCGGTGGTAGACTACCTTGGATGGGATGCCTGACCAAACTGGAACACTTTCAGCTAACTCAGGGTGGACTCAAATCAATAACGGCCGATTTCTTCTCACTTACTCTAAGGCAGTTGAAGATATTGGATTTATCCTACAATCGGATTTCTAAAATCGATTCTAATGTATTCCGGAATGTTCCCAATTTAAAATCACTTGATTTATCACATAATGCCATCGACCGAATTGATAATACTTTTGGATCGAGCACTAATTTGGAATATCTTGATCTCAGGTAAGATGCAAAAGTCTGAATACAATATTTTTGCATTCCAATGAAGTTCCAACGCTATTAAATCCCAACAAAATTCTAAACTAAGTAAAGTAAAGTGACAAAAAAAAGGAATAACAGTTAACAAAACAGATATTTCAACTTGTAGAGATGCTTGCCCATTGGAGGAAAAGTTATTTTCCTGTAGTTATATTTTGTGAAATGGAAAAAGTTAATAGCAATTTCTCAACGATTCATTAAAAGTAGACTCGTCGTTACATTTCCAACACTTTTCAGAAAAAATTTCTTGTTATATTTTATTTTAAAGGCACAACAATTTATTAGATTAAGCATTGAGATTTTCGAAAAAACAAATTCATCTTCCCTAATTATTTTCGATTCAAGAAAGATTTTGATTTGCTAAACAATGAAATAGAAACCAAGCTAGTAATTAAATCGCAGTCCACGAATTCTGAAAACTCCTCATTAACATAAACAAAGAATCGAGGCTATTCATTTTCGCTAGTCTCATTTACCTTCGGAAGTATAGAAACCGGTGTCTATAATAAAAAAAAATTTTAAAAAAAAGTATAGCTTATGGGTGATAGTCACGCTTTTTTAACTCCAGAATCATTAGCGCTTGGGTTGGACATTGACTACCAAGAGCAATTTTAGACTCAGATCCAAAGAATCATTTAAAAATTTTAATTATTCCGTTCAGGGGTAATGTTGGCATTACTTAAGTTTTCAAAAATCCATGTTCTCATTTATTTATAGTTCTGCTTTTAAAACTCGTTTCTGAGAAAAAATGAGAACAGCTTTTTTCCAAAACTTAACGAATCTTAGGACGAAAAAACATGTAATAAAGTAATTTAAATTTTTTAAAAAACTATTTTTCCATGGGCTTGCACGAAAAAGTAATAAATAATGCGTGCAACTTATAAAACACGAGTTTATAAAATCTCCGCTAATTTTTTAGGTATTCTGTTCATTAGGTATTTTATAAAACGCTTTTCGTATTAAGTGTTGCAAGAATTTTTAATAAATTTTTAAAGAAAACATATGAAAAGTCGGCTGTTTTCAAATAATAACAATAAATTCAAATAAACCACCGAATTTCAAATAACAATTATAAACCCAAATAAATCACCGACTTTTTATCTGTTTCCTTAAAAAAATTTGTAAGAAATTCTAGCAATACATTTTAAGATAAACTTTATATAAAAAAATGAACATAAAACCTTAAAAATTAGCCGAGACTAAGCTCTATTTTTATAAGTTACACACAATATTTTATTTATTACTTTTTCGTGCAAACCAGTAGTAAAGTTGTTTTTTTTAAACTTTAAATTATTTTATTTTAAAAATGAATTACATTTGAATAAAAAACCGGAACTATTGCAGAGAAGAATCCTACAAAAAGGACCCGGAAACCTCTTATCAAAGGTGAAGGTTCTTACTCTTACGGCCATTTACGAGTAGCACTTGATTTTTAGCGTCTAATTCGTCACAGTTTTATTATTATTTCTTATACAACGCACACCAAGTTATAGGTGTACAAAATAAGTGCCATCGACTGAATGACACGAAATCGGTGGCCAGCGCAGGTAGATATTTTAATTAAGTATCATCGTAATACAAGTCTATCTAAGTTTTAAAAATGTTATGAGTGCCATCGACAGAAGGGAACGAATCCGGTGGCCTTCCTTCATTCCATCAAGGGGAGTTTCTATGAATAAGCTGGTAGATATTTTAATTTTAATAAAATATCATCGTAATGTAAGTTTATCAAAGTTTTAAAAATGTTATGAGCTTGTGTGACACGGGTGTGAAAGCATGTTTCCGAGCAATTTCTAATGCTTCGTTGGATTTTTTTTTTATTGCGTGTACGACATAGTTTCAGACGGAATAAATTAGATTACTCCTGATGTGCAACGATGTTGCAGTTCAGATGCAAAATATTTTTTTCTTCTTTTTACAACTCGCAAAATGTTTGCCTGGATCAAGTTCTTATGGTTTAGTCACCATAGCAACTGAGGCTGGTTCAATGGGATTCCACTAGCAATCTTTATGTAAATGCATACATAAATTCCGTTATAACAAAATGAACAATCATTCTTACTGTGACTCTATTAACACTTCTAACGTTTAACTGACATCCATATATTTGTGTACATCGAAAGATTTTTTTTAAAAAAAGCACAAAATTTGTACGTTCATGTACAAATATTTGTCTGAACATGAATTGACTCATGGTCAAGATGGCGAATTACAAAAAAGTATACCAAACAGACAACAGGGTGTTCCTGTTGTAAATACCTACAAAATAGTGGAATTGGGCCCTAAAAAGGTTCCAGCTCAATAATAGCGACTTTCTCCTCGATCCGAGAGAAAAAGGTTAAAGCGTAAATTTAACAATAATTAAAAAATAATAATAATAACTATTGCAAGCAGCTGTAAAGCAACGTATCTTTATGGAGGAAACTAGCGATATTGTTGTGTACTATTGTAAGAAGCATGATATGACTTATAATGATTCTCTTTGCAGTTACAATGCTCTTAAAGTGATTGGATCAAATCTAGTGCCTCTGATGCCGAAGATTAAATCCCTCAATTTTGCATACAATCAAATAACAGACTTGAAGGAGAGAGATTGGAGTAGTAAACCAGAAAAACTCTTTAAAATCGATCTGAGGGGTAAGTTCACGCAGGGACAAGATGGCTTTCAAAATTAGAACGTATATAACGAGAACAAGAAAATCGTATTGAGAGGGTGGAAATCGTGAAAATTTATATAGGCTGGAAAACAACTGTGAAAGATTTGCAACTAAATTTATGGCGCTTTTATAAATTTTAGCAAAAGTAGAAGGCGAAAAAGACCAGTTGTGTAGCAATGGCGCATCGTTTTATATTTATAGCAATTTTGGCTGGAGCGGTTTATCGTCTATATAATGTCTCATAAATGAATATATAAATCTTATGACATTTTATGTAAGAATATTTTGTTAATTATGCTAATGTGTTAATGGTAACAAAACAAACGATTATTGGCTTAAAAAAATAATCAATTCCTACTTGAAAAAAAATATTTTTAGACTTAAAAGAACTGAATCTGTGCCACGAAAAAAAAGTGATAAATTCGAAGTAATTTTATTTCTTAACAACAATAGCCTTATTACACATAACAGCTGAAAGAAATTGTCTCTCGAGTCTTTTATGTCAAAATTCCTAAATAAATGCTAGGTCTAATTTTTCTAAAATTTTATGAATTAATTTTTGGCATCAAGTCAAGCGCGAGCTTATAAAATAAAGTTTTGGAAAGAAACATTGTAATAATTTTCTAACAAATTGGAATTTTTAAAAGAAGTCTTTCTCGTGTTAAGTACATGAACAAAAGGGCCTTTCAGCTGGTCAAATTTCAAATATATTCTTGCTGCATTTCAGCAGTCAATAGTTATGGTTCTTTTTTGGACATGGCATTTTTTACAAGTTTAGCAACTGATAAATTTTTGAAGTCTAACAGTTACTAACTCTCGAACTAATCATCAACTGTTAAATTTCTTTCATGCTATAGTATTCTCAGTACAATTTTCTACACACCGCCGTAATTTCAAGTTATTTGCATAGTTCACACTCAGTAAAACAAAATTTAACATTAGCAATTATTTTGTTGATATAGACTTTTGGTCTCTTATAATTTTCAATTTCATTTAATAGGTAACTTGATAAACTGTGACTGCAGCATAAAATGGGTGAACTCTACTTTTGAAGTAGGCGTCAATATTATTGGAAACTGTGGCAAACCAGATGAGTACAAACAATCTCGCATAAGACCAGCATCCAGACACCTAATCGAACGATGCGACGCCAATGGTAATATTGGAGTAAGAAGGAAGAATTAAACTGCTTACCTTGTTTCCCTTATTATGTGGCTCATTTGCAAGATTTGAAGTGAGATGGTTCATTTGGGAACAATTCTGAATTCTACTGATGATTATGTTATATGCACTAAACATTTACTACCTCTGCTTTTCTAAATAAATAAAATTATCACTGTGATAACTTTTTTCATTGGGGCATCAGATCATCTTATACAATTAATTTATGAGGAACATTGTCAGAGTTGCGTTATAGGGCAACTAAATATAGAACTAACAGGGCAATTAAGTTATTCGTGTATTAAATGTAGAAATTTATACTCACAAGCGCAATTGAATATGGAAATTTAAATATTTATTCGAATCTTTTTAGCCGAAAATGTATCTAAAAAAAAAAAAAAAAAATTCTCGTTTTGCAGTAAAACCTCTCGGAAGAGACCATTCTCTATTCCACAGTTAAATGGTTATTGATGGTTATTAATTTTAAATGATTATTAATTTTAGTCAGTGTCACTTTCTTGGTGCGGAAATGTCACTTCTGTCGTTCATGAAAAAACAGATCCATGTATTAAATTTAGCGTCTATAAAAATGATCCCAACAGATATAATTGTATGTAAAAAATTACCAATTATGAATGATGAAATTATTTTAAATAAATAAACAATTATATTCTTTGCTTAAGTTTGCATTTAATTTTATATCATAAAAATTAGCTAGTTTTACATGTTGAGAAGAGGTTTGTTTATTTAAGATGCTCGTTTTTTCTAAAAAAAAAAGCTTTCTTTTTTTTAAATTTAGCTTTCAACTCTAAGAGTAAATCATTTATAGCATCGTCTTTAGTAAACTCTGACTGCAACATGAGGTTGTATCGTCAAAAAGACGCTGAAAAATGACAACTGTAATAAAATCCGACCCCGAAATACGGAACGCATGATTCCAATATATTTTTAGAAAGGATCACAATTAAAACTCTATTCCAAAATTTTGAATTTACCTTACTTCATTCATTTTATTGACTTTATTTTGATATTATAAAAATGCTACAGTATTTAAGTGTTTAAAATAGATCTGACACAAAATAAAATAGAAGACTAATAAAATACTTGAGCAATTCGAAATAAGGTTACAAGCAATAAAAGGAATCATTTTGATATCCCATGCTTGTTGTCTCCGCAACTTTGAGCTGACAGTCTTTAACGCTCTGATTACTCAATTTGTGAACCGAAATAGCTTCAAAAATTGTGTAATTTTTTTTCTTGCATATTTTAAATCTATGTATAATGGAAATTTGAAATATGAACTTTTTCTTCCTAGAAAAGAATTTTTTTATAATTTTTTTTTTTTGAGAAACTAAGCTGTCAGAAAAACTAATTTTAGATGTTATCACAAAAAAAATATTTTTTTTCAATTAATTACAGTTAATTGAATTACACGATTGAATTACAGTTAATTTCTATTTATTACACAATTTTGCTTCAACTGTATAACGCTTTGCAAGTTTTTTGAATCAAGATCAGATTCATCGCCATCTGAAGACTGGTCTGAAAAATCTATTTCACTAAAAAAAAACTAAAATTACTTTCAGAATCTGATAAATCATCAGGAATATATACTCTGGTAATCGCTGAGCGTTTTCTAGCAGCCATTTCTAATTAGAAAAAAACGGCGAACTAGGGGAAAACTAACGACATCTGTTGGTTAAAACCTAAATTAAACGTCTAATACTGTATTCACTGGTTAAGCAGTGAAAAGGCGGGATGTGCTCTTGAATAAAGGAAGAAAAACACATGCCCACGAGATAAGCAAATTTTGCTACTTTTGAGTTGTCCGTGAGAAACGCGGGATGAGCAGCTAGAGGGCCAGAGCCTTTAAATGAAGTGAGCAACTACAAATTTCGTGAAGCTCACATATTAAATAATTACTGTTGCAGTATTGTAAGTACTATACATAACTAATTTAAATGGATACTTACATAACTAATTTAAATGGATACTTGTACGTCATTAAAATATTAAATTACTTAATACTTTAAAAACATATTGTTTGTATTCGTTATTCACGGATCCTGCGATCAGAATAATGAATACAATTATTAAAAAGATAGAAACTATAAAAAGAAAAATTACTCGAATAAAAAAAAATTCTGGGAAATTTATCCACAGACACGAATTAGTGAATGAAACTGAAAACACAAAAGTGGATGATTTGTGAAGTGAGTATTACTCATTAAAGGACAAAAAGAAACTGAACTGATTGCCATCGAAGACTATTTAAATAATTGTGAAGATTGTCGTAAAAAATTAGAGGTAAGATTTAAAATATTAATAAATTCTTATAATTTGAATTCTGTGAAAACAAATAATACAGTTGAAAAGAACTTTGAAAATTTTCGTAATCAATTCGAATTTTGATTCCTCTTGTTAGTTTCGCCTAATTTTTCAGAAAAATGCAAAATGTGCAGTTCTATTAAAAATTTAATTTGATGACACAATAACAAATACAGTAGTAATTTGAGTGAACCGCAAAAATTCCATTATTCGGGATCTTACCTCAAAAAATTTACTAAACAATTAGCTGGTAGCTTTGGTAATTTAATCTCTTTATTCGAGTCTCACTATGATAATGAACGGTTATTCATGTTGATGCTACTCATCCCCCTGGTGTAAGAAAGCATACACCAGGTCCAAAAGGCCCCGTTGCTTGAGAACATCATCGAAAATCTTCTCCTGTTCACCAACAGCTGCCTCCTGGAGGCTCCTAAACAATTAAGAAGGTGAGCAGGAGCAAGGAGAAATAAAAATCTATTTCCCATTCTGAAATTTTAAGTGACCACTTCTGAATCTTGCTAAGACCGATTGTAGAATTGAATTGAATGTGTGGTTTAGTGGCGCAAGGTCCAGATGAGGACATCAGGGGCCCCCACAAGGGGGGGAGGTGGGCGCACGATTCACCCACTTAAAGCTTGGGGGGAATTTTTACACTAAATAAAACGAATAGTTTGGGGGGGGGCACTGGTGGACATGCTGCGCCAAACAATACGGTAAAATCGTTTGAAAACCAAGACCGATTGTAGAGCATTGGGGTCTCTGCATAACAGAGACCGGCCCGGACCCTTTTGCAGCGTACCAGTTATGAACTGGTGGGAGGTGCCAAGTAGAAAATAAATTACTTTTTTGGAGCGAGTGGATTTCCGAAGGAGTTAGCTCAACAGAGTTGGTTATCAGAAGATCACAATCATTTCTCTCAAGAGTATCTGCAATCTCATTACCGTACACCCCAGCGTGCGAAGGAATCCAAGGGAGGCACACTGATTTCCTGATGTCTATCTCGGAGAGAAGTACTAGAAAATACTGGCCATGTTTATCATATATTTTCAGCCAACTGTATAAGTATTTAAGGGCACTTTTACTGTCAGTCAAAATCCAAATACTACGATAAACAGCAGTAAGGGCAAACTCCCAATAGCAATAATTTCTGACCTAAAAATTTAGCAAAAGCCAGGGTTACGGATACTAAATTTAGTTTCCTCGGTTAAATTCCTCGGAGTTGCTGATGAAAACACCACTCTCAGCTCTACCTTCTACAAATTTGCTTCCATCCGTCTTGATAGCCAAGGCATCGGAAAGGATATTAATGACCACTCGGACCAACTGTTTTAGAAGTTCAGGATGATCTTCCTTCTGACTAGCACGAGATTTCAAATCCTCATAGATACTGATACTGATACAAGTTTTAAAAACATTTCCATGGTACAAGGTATTTCGAAAATAAGAAGCAAGGAGTATCAGGAACTGTGTTAATTTTTTTACGTGGAATAAAGATACTTAATTATAAACAGAATCAATTGTCAGATATTTTTCTTAATAATATTCACGTGTCAAAATTAGATAAAGTATCTAGAAAGAAAAAAACCTTGATCTATCCTATCACATAAATAACCGAATTTACCTATGTTTGAAGAATTCACTAAATTATAAAATCATCGTGAATCAGTTTTGTTATCTATTAATAGAAACACATTAATCAAAAGAAAAACTAATGTAAACAAGAAATTTTCTACTACTAACCAATCTGAAACATCCTTAATGAATGAAAAGAAAAACAAACTTTGCGTAATTTGCAGAACTCCCACCCAATATTTCGGTGCGAAATGTTTCTGAAATATTGAAGAAAGATTAAAATAAGGGCGTGCTCGCAAGTTATGTGAATTCTGCCTTAAATAGAATCGTAAAAAATCGCAGTGTTTATCGAATTTTAAGTGTTATAGCGGTTTTAGACATAACAGGCTGATTGGTGTTATGAATGACAATCCTCGATTTCTCCTCCGGGTGACTGGGGAGGGGGTAAGAAATGAAAAGAAACATAAATCTTCAGAATTTATGGAAAAGAGAATTTGCTAGCTCATGCATCTCTTTTAAATAGCAGCTGCAAAAGATTTCTTTTATCGTCAACTGAAATTTTCGTGCAATGTGTAGATAAAAGAAAAATCATTCCATTTTCGATTCTGCTGTTAACATTTGTGTTTTCACAGATAAAATCAGCGATAAGTCAGAAATAAAGAAACACAAAATTAAAACTCCTCTCTCTCATTGGAACAGATTATCCCAAAATATTAAATGGAAAGTAAACACATTTATTTCAAATAAAAATAAATTTTAATAACCAGTTGAATTTTTAATTGTAGGTAAAATAACAGGACTCACACCATATACAATATTAGATATTTCGGATATAGAAATTCCACATTTTTTTTGATTTAGCTGATGAATCATTTTATGAAGCCTTAAAAAAGTTCATGTCATTATAAGTCCTGACATAATTTTTAAAATTTTGAAACTAAACAGTTAAATAAATGTTTTAATATTATTTGAGGAATCAGAATTAGGATGGAAATTAAAAGAAATATGTCCTACAACGCTAAGATATTGTTTATTCGTGGAAGAGGATTCATTACAACAGTGTTTCCCAAACATAGGACTTTAGTGTACCCTTTCTAAATTTTTCGTACTCTGTGTACCACTAATAAAAAAATTACTTTATTACTTTAAAAATACGTTGATCTTTCTTTTTGGTACAAAGTTTTGTTAATATGTTTATTTGCATCAGTGAAGGATGATGTTTGCTGTGATAAAAAAAAATTGCACAGAAGTTGAAAATCAGAACTGGCTATTGACACTACTAATTATTAACAGTTATCTCTGCAAAAAATAGTCAATAGAAAAATACGTAATCGTAAATTTTCATGGCTAGTTATTTTTAAATTAAATTTTATGAAATTCTCGCTTGCTGCAAGATATTTCACATAAGAAAGCGTACCCCTGGGGGTACGCGTACCATACTTTGGGAAACACTGCCCTACAAAGATACCTTTAAATTTTTCTTTGAATTAGAGGCATCCGTGATGATCAAGCTTTGTAGGAAATTGCAGCAACGATAAGACATCATTTAAAAATATGAAAATGACTTTCCTGCTGTAGTACACATATTAGATAAATGCATCTTTCTATATTGATGATTTGTCTTCCGGAGGAAGCAATTACGAAGAAACAGTTGAAGAATCTTGATGTGCGAAGAAGATTACGAAAACCGCTGGAATGTCTCTCTGGAAATCGAGAAGCAATGAAGCTTATCTCGTAGAGCAATTGAAGATTTGATACATACCCTGCAGTTTGGGTAAAAACCAGACCCTGTAGTTTGTAGATACATACCCTGTAGTTTGGGTAAAAACCATCAGACCCTGTAGTTTGTAGATACATACCCTGTAGTTTAGGTAAAAACCAGACGAAGATACTTGGACTAGCGTGAAACACTTATGGAGATAATTTGATTATAGATACTTCAAGTTTACAGGAATTTGTTTCTAGTGAGAAAAGTGTGAAACGTTTCATACTTCTGTAGAGAAAATATTTGCTAGGATCTTCAGAATGAAAAGTTTCCTTGGAATAAACACTCACCACCAAATATTGAGAAAGAATGGTAAGAGTGCTGTACAGAATTGCTTCTCTTAGGAAACTTTATAACTCTCAGATTGGTTCTTGCTTCATCAGAAATAGAAGTCATTGCTGAAATACACAGTTTTCGTGATGCAAGCGAAAACGCATATGACGCAGCCAAATATTTGAAATTGAGAACTTTAAATGAAATTTCAACGAAGCTTCTAACTTCAAAATGTCGTGTTGCACCTTTAAACGGTGTGACTCTACCAAGATTAGAACTGTTAGGGGCTCTAGTTGCTGCTCTTCACAAGTTATGGAACTTGCCCTCGAAAATTGTTAATGTTTAAACACCATTTACTAATATTGATCTTGATTTCTGTGGAGTTTATTTACTAAAGTATAAATAGATCATAGAAAGTATATACTTAATAAATTTTAAATTTGTTTTTATATGTTTTACTACAAAACTATTCCTCAACAATTATCGGATTTAATTTTCAATTTCTTGATTGTCGTACTTAGACGTTTCACGAGTAGGTGGGGGAAATGTATACTCATAACACAACTAATTTTACAGTTCGAATTCAAAATTGAAGAAAAAAATTCTGATTTAATTTATTTTCCTGATGAAGATTTGGCTAATTATTTTATCTCGGAAAATATGGATTAGAAAATTTTATCCCATCCAGAGGTACCGACTTCGGAGGATCGATTAAACACCATTAAAAAGAAGGAAAAGAATTTCATTTTACTTATAAAGATATCTAAACTATAATAATACATATCGAAGGAATATTATATTCCCGTTCACTTACTCCACTTGTAATCCACTTAGATTAAAAAAGAAAAATCAATGTCTTGACCCCTGGTCAATTTTTGAGGGAGGTCGGTAATCGAAATAGCTGAACCGCTTTTATTTGATGTAAAAGAAAATCCTTCAGATTGTTGGCTAAAAAGCAACTAAGGTTGCTGAGCTTATATGGAAAAAATGAAAACCTGATTATTTAAATGCTTTACTAATCAGATACAAATCTATTACTAAAAAAATGATTTAATGGTGTGACAAAAAGTTTTCATCAAAAAAGACTTTTGCCCATAAATAATTGTGACTTTTAGGTCGAAGCATAGCAGTAGATCAGGGATGATATAGAAAGATAGAATGAATTTTGTAAATCATCATTACATTAAACAAAAATAATTAAAAATCATTAAAACTTAGACAGTTTAGGGAGTTACCATCTGATAACTCTCCCCCCCAAAAAAAGATAAAAGACGAACTTACGCGAATCGGACTTAAAAAAGAGGCTGCAAAAATGCGTTTTCGTTTCGAGATTCGGTTGTTGTAATAAATAATATCGTTTTAAAAATTTCGGATTTTAAAAACTATGTGGAAATCATAAGCAATGACTACCAATGTATCGAAGGAAAGGAAAGAAACGATAGAATTATTGCGTCAAGAAGTAAATACTCAAATGCGCGATACGAATTTCCCATATTTTCTGAAATATATCGGGTGTTTTAAAAACCATGAGAATATAAATATCAATAACCGTTGAAAATGCAATTGAAACACCATATGGATTTACGATGCGCTTAGCGTAAATGGAGTGTGTCAAAAAGTGATGATTTAAATGCACGAATTGATTTTCACATGTCGAAATAATATCAACTGACAAATACCGGAATTAAAAAAATGGATATTGGTAGCACTGGCAAAAGCTGTCGAAAAAACAAAAAAAAAAACAATGCAATTCTCACATTAAAAGTGAATTATCAAATGCGTTATTGATGTTCAACGTTCTAATTTTGGCACTATGAAAAATAAAATATTTTTTCCGATCAACTTTTTAAACCAATATTATCTTAATTCATATTTTATTTGTTTCATTTCTTTTTGTATTCAACTGGTTAGCATAGTAAATTTTAATAAAAACTTCATTTTCAGCGTATTTCACGGCTTTTTACAATCCATGCAATTTTTCTTTTTCTAAGTGTTTAAGCGTTATGAAACTCAGTGCAATATTATCAGAATTAGCACTTGTTTTTTAAATAATAATAGTAAATAATAAAGTTTAATATAGGAAAGATAATCCCTATCATAAGGAAGGGAAAATCATGATCACCTTCTCCACTTGAATGAAAAAAACATATCTAAAATAAAGATATTTAGAAAATAAATCTAAATATCCAGGTTTAAAGCAATCAATTCTTGCCGTGAATTACGAAGAATAAGAGAGCGAAATGTTTATTAGCTTTATTGCTTGATAAAAATAAAGAAAATATGATAGAGTTATCATGATCGAAAACAAAGTTATGTTTTTAAAAAAAATTAAGCAAATCGAAACTTTAAGTGACGTGTAGAGCGAAAAATCTGCGCAAGCTCTTAACACGTTCTAAATAAAACATTGATCGTCTGATATGCCGATTCATGAAATGGGAAATTTCCCTTTAGTTTTAATTTCAGTTTTATAAAATGTGATATTTGATTGGAAAGAAAGGGAACTTTTATCTTATTAAATGACAAAATATTCCTCACGTGGTTTCATTATCAACGTACACATAATACTACTATAGTTTTATTTCCACGTAGATAGTGGAAATAAAACTAACAGCCTAGTTCCATTTCTCCGCTAAAGTGAGAAGGACTTCTCAGTTGTTCTAAAGATAGGTTGAGGTATTCATTTTAATATTACTTTTTCCTATAATATTATTTATGTATGTGTGTGTATTTCTTTCAAGTAATATTTTTTTAAATATATTATTTAAATAATTTTTTTCTTCTCTTTCATTAATCTTTATTATATTTTTTTCCACGTTTACTTTTATGTATATATATATATATATATGCACAGAATGATTATTATTTTACTGAATAGGGTTAACTGAATATATATACTTTTCTTATTCTAATATGGGCAATACTCTCGTGCTTCGTAAGGAGAAAAACTCGCTATTTATTTCCTTTTTCGCATTTTGTAAATCGATATATTGAAAAAAATTTTTTTATGAAAAATATCTATTTCAAAAATTATATGGAAATCAACTGCCAAAAAAAATCGATAGAATCATTGCGTTACTAATTAAATATTCAATTGCTCGATTCAAATTTCCCATATTGCAAAAAATATATTGGGATGTTTAAGAACTATGTGGAAATTAATATCAATAACTGCCGAAAACGCACTCGAAACACGAGATGGATTTCGATATTATCGGCCTAAATTAAGCGCTTCAAAAAGTGCTTATTTAAATGCGCGATTCAAATCCTGTGTGTAGAAATAATATCAACAACCACCCCGTGTAGTACTAGCGATAAAAATGATAAAATCGTTCTATTAAAAGTATATAATTAGATGAGTGATTTTAGATTGACGTTTAATAAAATTGTATAAAAAAAACTTTGAATTCGTTTTTTTTTCCTTCTTTTTTTTTAACTCATTGGCAAAATGGTTCTTGGTTTGGATTTCAAGGCGTCCTCACTTTTCAGCTATAATAATCAAGAGTAACAGTAAAGAGTGCGCATGCGTGCTATAGCGACCTCCGTTGTTTGATGATTTATTTAGAATTCTTTTCTTCACTTTTAATTTTGTTATGCATTAAGTTGGTGAGTTTGTTAAGTTGTTATGCATTAAGTTATTTTCGTGATATGGGACCAGAGAGATCCTATAAATACTTCTTGAGTTTCGAATAAAAGAGAATTTCATAATTTCAACGATTTATTTGTTTTTATTGTTTTAATTAAGAATCAGAAATTCTAACCTACAGTTTACACTGGATCGTTTTCAATACTAATTCAGGTGAATATCACAAATAAAGCGGGTTCAAACTGATTGACACGGTCCCAAAAGTTACTGTTGTAGCAAGAAAAAAACGATGCCAAGGCCTAAACTTCCCGAGGCTTAAAAAGCCAAAGAGCGTAGACAGGAATACCTTAAGCGTTACACACAAACGGAAAAACGAAAGGATTCCGTTCGCAAACGCAAGCAAAAAGCCTGTCCCTCACAAAAACGAAAAGTGGTTGAGAGAATTGAACCCTACCGAAGAGCGAATGGTGATTCTCCGAACACCTTTCATGCAAATACGAGAACTGGGTGTTGATCACCAGTTAGAGATAAAAGGATCCATTGCCAAAGTACCTAATAACTTGCACAATACCGTAGACTGTCTTCCACGCAATATAAATGATTCATTCAATATTCATGTAAAATTGAGAAAAAAAGCATAGCTTTCAAATCCCATTTCATGCATGAACTTGTGAATCCGAAACGGGTGTATGATGCAGCATACAATTTCCATCAAACACCATTGTACCAATCCGAAAATGTTAATATTGATCTCGATTAGCAGTTCATTGTCTATTCTTTAAAGATTTTACACAAAAGATTTTACACAGAATGTGTCTGAGCTGCATTTAAATATGTCTGAGAAATTGTGTACCGAGCAGTTCAGGATTACCATATGTCCAAGATGAAAACACAAAGTTTCTTTTCCAAAAAATTTAGAAGATAAGAACCATTTTGGCAATGAGGCGATCACAATTTTCTTCATTTTGTAGTGAATCGTATAATTATTTATTTTTTGTTTTTTTTTTCCAATTTTCTTTTTAAATGTGAAAATTTGTAGCAATAACTGACCGAAGATCGATTGAAGCACTGCAAGGATTAATGAGGATATCGGCACAAACCAAGTACGTCTAAGAGTGATTTTTTGAATGCGCGATTTGAGTTCGCATGCCGTGATATTATCGGTATTTTTTTAAAAAATTGCGAGAATATCAATAATAATTAAGCAATTAAAGATTTCAAAAAACCAAGTAAAAATTCGCAATAATAATTGCCGACAAAAGTTATCAAAACATAACGTATATTTATGACGGAATAGGCGGGAGTTGTGAGCGATAAAGTGAAGACTTAAATGCGTAAACTGAAATTTCCATGTGCGTAATATATTAAAATTATCAAAAAACTGAACAAAAAAATAATAATATTTGAAATTTTCTGCACAAAAGAAAAAATTTTTTTTACTTCCTTATTCTCAAATGAGAATAGAAAAGTCAGGACCTTCCCTTCCGATGCGCGAGTAAAGCATCTTTTGAACATGATTTTGGCGAAGAAAAAAGCTCATTTAACATTTGGCGCTCTTTTCTGCTGAAAAGAGCGCCAAAATTATTTACTTCACAAAGAAAAATTTGTCTGCAAGAACTCCGTAACGTTCTGCGACAATGTCGCCGCGTCGTCACAATTCTGCCACGGGGGATTCTTGTGTGAATTTTTATCCAGTTGGGTTGGAAGAAACCTATTTTTTTCAGCTGTGGAAGAAACTGAGGACATCCGTGGTAGTATCCACAAAAATATCCGAATCAATAAACTTTTTATAGGGGGAGATACACCTTTTAGTATGTAGTTTATTCCAATAAATTCCAAGGATTATGCAAGTTTCTAATTGCAAGAATAAAACTTTTTAAAAAACAATTAAACAACATGGTACACAATATAATAATTTAAAATAAGCAAAGTTTGCTTATTTTAATTATATATTAATTTTAGGTGAAGTAAAGAGAAATGGAAGTCATTAATTTTAGAACCGTTATTGTGCCCGAAGAGAAATATGCCACATATGATGACATAACGAAGAAATTTAAGACATATCTCGAACAGCTGACATTTTATTTTGAAGCATGTGGTCTGATGGACGTCAGTCTCAGCTTTTTGAAAGCGAAAAAATCTGAAGAAGAAGATACCCCAGAAATAGAAGAACTTATCATACAAGTTTCAGCCAAGTGTTCGCTAGAAAACGAAGATTGGGTGCACTACTGTCGACAGTTGCGCAGTGAATGGAAGAACTTATTTTATCCAAATCCCACCCCAATTTTGGCGTTTTATGAAAGCAAGTCTTTCAGCTCCTCACGCAAGCATTCTCACGTATACACTGCATACAAGACTATTAGTTTTGGAATTTTACCGCATGATGGAGCCTTTCATCAGTACTCCTCACTGGAGTCAAATCAGATTTTAGACTCTCACCACGTTAATTTTTATCACGACAGTCGGTCTGTTACTATAAAATACGATGCTTGGGAATTAGAGTTCTCGTACAGTAATATTAAAAATGTATTTGTCAATATCGATTCGAATTCTCATGAAATATTTTTTGATTTGTGCAACCCACCTCTTATTTTTGAAACTGAACAACGTTACAGTAAATATATAGGAAATTATCAAATAAGACACAGATCTGCTACCATTACGACTGGTCCGAGCTGTTGGGGTAGAAGGAGGAATAATAATTATTTGCCTGTCGGCGAAAGGAGAGCATTATTTGACGTTGAAACGCTTGGAAAAGCTACGGTTATGAAACTATCATTTACAAATGCTATCGTCGTTGAAGAGATCGTTAGCAGAATTCATGCCAGGTGCGGTGAAAAACCAATACATTATGCCTACATTGTTACTAAGCAGAAAGAAAAACCTGACATTCCTGACGTCAATTGGAATCATTTCGGATCTACATACATGATAACATCGATTTTTAAAAGAAGTTTTACAGTTCCTTCTCAAACATCCAACATACATACCTCTCTACGTGTTTTAGAAAAATTTTCTTTGCAAAATGGAGATTGTCTCGAAAAAGCATTAACACTCGTCTTATCGACTTTAGAATCAGGGAAGATCATGAACTATTGGCACGCCATTGAGCGACAATATTACTTTTATCTTAATCACAAAGATGAAATGGATTACATGCACTATATCGTGCCCGAGAAGTGCCGATTAATCCGTCGCATAACTGTGACACCCACGCGTCAATTGCTTTGGCCACCTGAAATTATGTTCGGTAATAGAGTTTTGAGAAAATTTGATCCAGAATACGCCATTCGCGTATCATTTAGAGATGACGACAATTCTAAATTAAGTGGCAAAGCAGCATATGCTGAGAAAGGTATTTTTGAATATTCGATCCGTAGACCAATGTCTACAGGAATACGCATTGGATCTCGCCACTATGAGTTCCTGGCTTGGTCTAATTCCCAGATTCGTGATCACGGCATATGGACATACGCTAGAGATACTGAAGGTAATACAGTTCAGCATATCCGATCGTGGATGGGAGATTTCTCTCACATTCACTCAGTTCCCAAGTATATGGCAAGAATGGGGCAAAGTTTTTCACAAACAGAAGACACTGTTACTGTACCATTAGATCCCCGTCACATTCGGACAGAACCGGATATTGAAAGGGGATATGATGTAGCTAATGGTGGCAAGCCCTATTGTTTTTCTGATGGTATTGGACGTATTTCAACGAACTTAGCAACTGAGGTAAGAATACAACTATTAACAGTGTGTAAGTTTTGTTTCTTAGCTAATCCAGTTTTAATTACAGCGATCAGAAAAATTTAAAGCATTTTAATTATTCTTGCAACATATGTCGTTTAGAGGTGGATTTGTATCAATGTATCTGACATTTTAAAATTATCTAGTTAAAAGCAGTTTATCATGCAGTTAACGTGTTCAATTAATATCAAATGCCTATCGAAATGAGAAGCTAGCTTAAAGCCTCTTAAATTTGTTTTACGTTTACTAAGGAAATTAACTTGATATTGTATTTTTAATATTTATGGCAGTAGTAGTATTTTATTTATATTGCACTAAGGCTGCCACTCTTGAGACAGTAAGGAAAACATGCATAAGGATGATCCGAAAACAAACTATCAGAATTTTGATTTCCTGGTGGGAATGGCACCCCCGCTTTGTTAGCCCGACGACCAGCGCACGAAGTTGAGTACTTCACAAGAACCTGTGGAAATAAGTAGTTTCCAGTTATAAACTTTAGTGTTTGAGTTTTTTTTTTCAGATTCGTTTCCAGGATGGAAGTAAAGGGAATTCAAGAAACAAGCATTCAATCAATGTGACGTACGAAATCGTTATCTATAAAAGAACGAACAATTTCTTCTTTCACCCCGGTGGAGAGGGATGAGCAACCCACCTATCTTTTGAGTCTTTGGCCGATTGCAGATGATGATCCTATATATATATATTTGTATATTCAATTAGAATTTTAGATTTAAGTTAACCATTGAAAGTAATAATAAATGTGTTCCAGTTTATTTGTGCACTTCATGATTTTTAGCATACTCTGTTTTGTGAGTTAAATCCACAGAACCGATACTGTGCACCCTTGGTTTCTTCGAAGGCTGATAAAAGAGGTCACCGAGACTCTCAAAGACCAATAGATGTCAGTACCATCGGTGCTTCGGAAGGGCTTTACTATGGCGTAACTACCACTACGATTATTAAACATCAATTCACTAGTATAAAAGATATGCTAACTCGATTCAGTTCCTCTCCCTCAATTATTTTAATTCCGATGAGGAAGATAACCTTGGTTAGGTGCTCCATAAATACCGTATCAGTCAGTCTCTCGATTTTATCTTAGGGTACCTTATGACAGATGAAGATTGACATAGTCTTAAACTTCTCTTCCCACATTGGTGACCTGCGGAAGTGATATGAACTCGCCTACATCGAAAGTAACGCCCTCTTCGATGAATGGTCCACATTGAACAGTTGACTTATTATTTGTGACTGCTTCATCCTCCTCCTCACTCTGTTGCTACTCAATCTCACACACAACGGGATCCTGCGCACACTCTTCTGCTAATAGCAACACAGGAGAGACCACACTCACAGATGTGAAATTAATACAGCTCTCACAACAAACGCTCAAAACTCCATGAACTTAATACAGCTCTCCCGGTCTTTTGCAAATATCTCAATTAGTGTTATCTGTGCATTGAATTCTATCCCTGATGAAATTCAATGAGTGACAAATATTTGAAATCGGCGGCTAATCGCTTATCAGCTATGCACCATTGTTTGTGACGTCACTGAAAGACCTTGGTGATCTCAACGGCCTTATTTCTCGGTGGCTATGGCTTGTCTCACTCGTAATAGAATGGAATGAACAGTTGCTAAAGTAAACATATACCACGTTTCACCAACCAATCAAGAATGAGGTATCCACACTACGTCACTTGCAGGTATCCCATTCTCAAGAGACATAAAATCCAACTGCTTCTGAATGAAAATTAGGAAAAATCTTGCAAACAAGTCTCGATGAACTCTTAGTCACATGTTAAATGGGAGTTATTATTTCTTATGACTCGTTCAAAAAATAGGTCGAGAGATTTCTCCGATTCCCATACTTTGCTAATAGAAAACTTAAAATATTAATTAATTAATTCTAGCATTCATTTAGATAAAGAAATAAACATAAAAAACTTAAAATTTTTTTGTGTTATATGTAATTATTATATAAAGAGACAGAGAGACAGCTTATTCCATTTACTTCCCTATAGGTGCGCAATGCTCTGGGCCATGATAAACTCTGCAGTGCATTCCAGATACGGTATGGTGGCTATAAAGGCATGCTGGTAGTAGATCCTACCTTAAAAGATGCGGACATAGTGTTTCGAAAGAGCATGAAAAAATTTGATTCCCCTCAAAATCAAAGATTGGAAATTGCTAGAACAAGTGCTCCAAGTAATGTTATTCAGTTATTTTTCAACTTTCATCTGCATCGATTTTTGTTTCTTAATATTTGCATTCTATTCTACTTTTCTACTCCATCTAATTCAAGTTAAGGGCGATAAGTTTACCCTGAGAAACTAGCTATAGAAGTTTAGTTGCAACCAAATGTTAGTTAAGACTACTGCTAAGAGTTTAGATTCATATTTAAACATTGATGATCAGGCAAATCGTCCTTAAATGAAACGGATGATTTTGTATTCCTTAGATTGGCTGCACTACGATGTAACTTAGATTCGATTCTAGTGGTGACTTGACGTTTTCTCCAGACGATTCTCAAATAATTATTGGAGCACCGATGGTCACAGTAAACTTTGTATGATCACCGATTATGAACACTACACAGTGTTTCGATAGTATCGGCGTAAAGTGAGCGCGTCAAACAGTTATTATTGAAATTTGCAATTTAAATTTTACGTGTCGTAATAATATTAATTGAGAAATAACCGGGATTTAAAAAAACCTGTGGAATTTGGTAGCTCTAGCAATAAAAAGTTGAAAAACGATGAAATCGTCGCATTAAAAGTAAATAATTGATTTAAGTTTCGCGTATAATTAATTTTATAAAAAAATATTGGGATTTGTTTTTCTAAAAAAATGAGAAAATTCATAACAATAACTGTCGTAAGAACGATTCAAATACCGCATGGATTAAAGAATCGCCGTAAAACGAGCGTGTCAAAGAATTATTTCTTGAATCCGTGATTCGAATTTTGCGTGCCGTAATAATATCGGTGTTTTTCAAAGATTCTGGAGAATGTAAATAATTAATTGAGCCAATGTAAGACATCGGGATTCAGAAAGAAGAAAACAAAAATTCCTAGCAATAATTACAACAAGAAAAGAAAATAACAAAACACGGTATATATATTTTCAAGTCGAAAAAGTGAGAACTCAAATTTTTACATGCCTAATTTAAAAAAAAATACTAGATCGATTTTATTTCAACCAAATTTAAAAAAAAGGGAGACATTATTTTGCTATTAATTTGTAACAAAATTCCCATTCACAGCCAAATTTTATTCAAATGTAAAATATGCTGTTCCAAAAAGAAAAAAATAATAATTTATATATATATATATATATGTGTGTGTGTGTGTGAGTGAAAGGAGGTTTATCGTACAGGATAAGGTGTAATAAGCCGTGTATTCTAATGAATAACGTGTGTTCCTAGTACTGAAACATCACAGGTTCGATTTGAATTTTATTTTCAAACATTCGCGTCATCTGTCGGCAACTGTTGTAATTATTAAATTCTAATATTTCTGCGTAAAATATTAACAACTAGCATACCGTCTATAGGCATAACATTTGTTTCTAATATTTTTAATTTTGAAATAAGTCGGTCATTCGTTGGAACTATCTGTTCTGAACATTCTCTTCAGAATGTTCGATAATACTGAATTGAAAATTTATAATGACTTTATAATTGTTGCTGTGGATTACCAAAATCAAGAGAATGTCGAACTTCACCGGTGAATGTCAACAATCACATTGTCCCTTTGGTGAATATCCAAACTATTTTTATATCCGATTTGATATTAATTTATTCGTTGATATTATAATATTTATTCGATATTTTAATATCTGCTGAGGATAGATTAGATCAGTATTTCTTAACCTTTTTGATACAATGGACCCCTTTTAAAGTTTTTTAAGAAGTCACGGACCACCCCTCTGAGAAAAAAAATTGCAAAATACATAAATTTTTAGTATTTAATTTATTTTAGCATTTAATTTTATTATTTCAATAGTATACAAAATATTTAAAATTAAAATTTTTAGTCTGAAGGTTGTTGCTGCTTTTCCTTAATTAATAAATTGAATAGAGGGATGGTTTTCGACAAAGTAACGAGCATAACATGTTCAACATTCAATCGATAACGATGTTTTTTTTTATTGTCACAACTGTGGAAAGTCCGGCTTCGTTAAGATACACTGTAGCTAACGGAATTATAGCTGAAATATCTCACTTTACAAGCAATGGGTAGGCTTCTTTCACAGAAGACCAGAACTCTCCGAGTGTTTTTGAATCGAAATCCATTTTTAGCAAGGACTTTGTTCTAAGATCTATAAGCTCATCTTTGGCAAGGTTCATATCATCGATACAGTCAATATCACAAGGAAAAGGATGACAAATCCACAACTCATCTTTTATCTTTATCTCATCCAAATTAAAATATTTTTTCAATGAAACTTGAAGTACTTCCAGGTGTTCACAGATTTCATTTTTTAAGTTATTCAGTAACAAATTATCTTGCCAAGATCCATTTTCAGAAAGCACTTCGTCCAACATTTAAAAGTTTGCATATATCTCATTTTGAATTCTATTTTTTTCAAAGTGGCATCTTCAATTAGAATGCTTGTAATTTCTCAGTTGCATCCATAATGGTGATATCGGGTCCTTGAATTAAAAGACTTATATTGTTCATGTGGTTAAAATTATCTGCCAGGTAAGCCAATTTATAGGTAAAATCTTTTTTGTTTAAATATTCGAAGAATGAGTTATCTTTTTCTTCTAGAACAAGTGATAATTCGATCTTCAACATGAAAAATTGTTTCAAAACCTGCCCTCGTGACAGCCAGCGCAATTCCGTGTGGTACAGAAGTACCTCATGTTCTGCGTCCATTTCTTGACACAGCGTTTTAAAGAGACGATGATTAAGAGCTCTACGTCTAATAAAATTTACAGTTTTAATAACTTTTGATAATGCTTCTTTTAAGCTGGTTGGAAGAGTTTTTGTAGCCAGCGCATGTTTATGTAAAAAACAATGAGTAACAAGAACATTAGGAGACTTTTTTTTTACCAACAGGGCAAAACCAGATTTATTGCCAAGCATCACAGGTGCTCCATCTGTACGAAGTGAATGAAGTTTTTCTTTCCAGCCGAAGTCTTGTTTGGTAAAGAAAACATTTAACATTGCTAAAACATCAACTGCCTTTGTAGTTTGCAAAAGAGACTCACAAAATAAGAATTCTTCTTTGATAGTATCAAGAGACACGTAACGAACAAAAACAAGAAGTTGACTATAATTCGAGATATCTGTAGTTTCATCCAGTTGCATACTAAAGGGAAATGGCGATACTTTCAATTCATCGATGATCTTTTTCAAGATATTGCAAGAAATTTCAACTATTCTTGAATGTGTCACATCATTTGAAAATGGAATTGCCTCAAGTTTTTTTTCTCTGTTCCAATCTACAAACTAATTCAACCATCTCCAGCGCACATGGCTTAATTAACGTCTCTCCAATAGTATGCGGTTTCTTGCTTTTAGCAATATGATATGCAACTTTGAGAGATGCCTCAACCAGAGGTTTTTGTGGAATACCAAATCCAAGTTTGTCTAATGTTCCAGATTTCAAAACCTGGACTTTCTTCTTAGTAAAAAATTCTAGATCTAGTAACCTGAACAAGGTGTCAAATGTACGTAGCTTGATAGGGGATAATAAAAATAGTACAGCGGACGTCATCACGGGGTTGCCCCTGATGGTGCAAACTGAAAGCCGGTTAGTGGAGGATGTTAAAAATATGACAGGGATATTAGAGGGCTGTGTGCAGTCCGTACTGAATTTGGGGTATCTCGATCACCTAGTTTCAAATATGTATGTATTTTCACCTTTTAGAAAGAAAAAAAGATCAATGTGATTTAAATATTATTGATCGAAACGTTTTAAAAATTATGAGCAGTCGGTGGACCCCCAAAATATAACCCATGGACCCCTAAGGGGTCCATGAACCACAGGTTGAGAAACCCTGGATTAGATGAAACATCAGTGTTCGGAGTAACGGTTAAATGCATACTGGACAGTAGTACTTGACCTTAAAAAAATATTGATGTTGGGCATACCGGACAGTGGTGCTTAATTAGACTTAGTATATATTTGGATCATTCCACGTCAAATCATAAAGGATTTTTCAGAAATGCACCCACCATCTCAGATTTTGATAAAAAATTGTACTGTTATAGAATTTTTGATGCTGATGTCAAAAATATCAGTTATATTTGAATCTATTAAGGGATTTAAAAGTTATAAGCATTTATATTTTTAACAAAATGGCACATTTACCAACATTTTGATTCATATATCAAAGGCTATTAATGAATGTTACTCACAGATTTGTCATAGAGCAATAATTTTTTTTATTTTGTTCAGAATAAAGTAATCTGTCTTTTAAACACTTTTTTTTTGCAAATAAGTATCTTACTTGTTTAGTAACTGGCTCTGCTTTGCAGTTTTTTGATCAGCGGAGTTGAGTAACTTCAGATAGGTAGCTTGATGATTTATAGTCCTTAATTGTAATTGTAACTAGAGTACAATAAAATGGTATAAGAATGTGAATAATAGAAAAGTATGTAAAATAAAGAAATCATTTATTAAATTATCTTTTACTTTTTTCTTTAAGCCCTCCCTCCCTCAAAAAATAAAAGAAGAAACGAAAAAATTTGAGAATTTCAGAATAAAGAATTTAGAAAATTTCACCTTTTTTGTAAATAAATTTATTCAGAATCTAAAAAATACATGAATAAAAGTTTTTCTGTAAGAGTAGTGGATAATACCAAATAATAAACAGCAGCCATATATATTTTTTAATTGACCTAACTTGGATCTTTTTAGAAGGAGAAAATCGGAATTTATGATGTTGAATAATATTAGAGAGAATGAATTGTACCCTTTATTTTAATTCAAACATTTTATTTGATTCTAAAATGTAATTGAAGACCAAATTATGAATATTTATAGTTAGTATTATTCTTTTATTTGTTGTGGTAATGAGATACTCCTAAAAAATTTCATTTAAAACACTGAGCAACTTTAAAAAAAAAATTTCGATTTATTTTAATAATATTGAAATGAAATGATTTTATATCATCAACTGTCTGATAATTTGTGTGCTCTTATTTCATCACAAACACCTGCAGGCCTTTTTTATCCTTTGATACTTTTGTTATAACTCTATACATCCAATTTTTTTTTAAAAAAAACTTCTGAATAGAAAAAAAAATACTGAAAACTATTGACACACTCCACCTCTACCTCCTAAAAAAGAAATTTGACTAATCAGAATGTATCATCTGCCAGAACATTTCCGTTTGTTCCAATCAGAATTGAGTGTATGCAAAATTTATTTTCTTTCAAATCAATAGAAGTGTATTTCGATTAATTTAGAATAGAATGGAAATAAAATAGAATAGAAACTTTTAAGCTTAAGTTTTCTAAAATTTTAAATGTGTCAATTTGGTTTTTGAAAAGATTTTTATTAGGGAAATCCAAGTATTGTGCAGTATTGGATTAACTTCGAAAGATTTGAAGTGCAGTTTAAACTCACAGAAGATTTTAGAACTTTCTTCTGAGAATATAGAACGTATTCATTATGAAGCAATTTAGATTTTAAGGAAGGTTCAACTATATGGCTCATACATAAGGAGTATTTTTTGTATCAGTATGGAATATATATAAAAAATTTTGTGACTTATTTAATTCTCATTCCAATATGACCAATAAAGTCTCCCTTCATGTCGTAAGTGTAGATCAGTCTAAAACATATAGAGCTAAATTGCAAATTTCAGCAAGTCCTGGCCAGAAATTGTGTTCTTGCAGAAAAAAAGGTGCTGAGGTACAGAAAAAAAGTACACACTGAAAAAGAAGCAACTGAATTAAACCTCCACCATAGCTTTTCGATAAAGGATACAGATTTTTCAGCAGTCGTAGTTGATAAAGAAGAAGAACGTAAAAGTTTAAATGAGAGATTAACGTCAATAGAAATTGAAATTGAACGAAACTAAAGTTGCACTGAGAAAAAAAGTTGCTATTGCTTTAAGTGTAGAAGAGGAGATCCTCGAGAGTAGCAACTCCGAGGATGAAGATTAGATATTTAAAAAGAAGGTTGAAGAATTTGATAGATTGATGGAATTGATGAAAGAGAACATTTCCCTTGCTTCACATAGAGAAAAATTCAAATGTTGACTCTTGTTCCATTGTCGCAGCCAAGAAAGAGATTTTTTAACGTCACAGAGTATCAGGTTCAACAGTTCGGAAAACTTTTGAAAGAGAAAGTATTTCTATAGATTCCAAACATGAGAACATAAAGAGGCTGCTTCAGGGGACTATACAGACTTCTATGAACATGGTGAACATTCTCGCCTTATGCCAGGACAAAAAAGATAAAATAAGCGTAAAATGGAATATACATGTTCGAAAAAGGCTTATGTTATGTAATTTACGAGAGCTATATGTACATTGGTGTATAAAAACTTGTATGAGTATGAAACAAGAGCTTGTACAAAAACTTGTATGTAGTATAAATAACAGAAAATGTATGCTACGCTTTTGTCATAGATGTCCCAATCATACTGTTTTTAAAGATTATCTACAGTCTAAATTTCCAGATTTTGACCCGGAAGATCCAATAACATAGAAGCAGTAGGTTGCAACAAATAGAATAGATTTGGCAAAACATACTTCTGCCCTTAATGATTTTATTGATCTTTTTGTTAACAAGATTGAAAAATTGATTTCACATATGTATGTAACAAAATGTCAAAGTACATACCTAAAAAAGAGGAAAGAAAAACTCGACAGCAGAGGCAATAATTATAGATTTTAGCGAAAAATTTTCTTTCATTCTTCAAGATGTAGCGCAAGGCTGGACTCACAGTTGCTGCACTTTGCACACAGTTGTATTATATGTAAAGCAAAATGAAAATTTAATTAGTGAAAGCTTTTGTTTCCTCTCAGATGATATGGATCATGACGTGCCACTAGTATACCAGACGCAAAAGCTAATGATGCAATATTTGAGTGAAAATTTTCCTAATGTGACAAATGTTGAATATTTTACTGATGGCTGCGCTGGTCAGTACAAAACTCTTTTAAATTTGTGTAACCATGAATTTGATTTTATGGAATAAGTGCAAAATGGAGTTTTTTTGCTATCAGCTTGTGATGGAATAGGTGGAACAGTTAAAAGGCTTGTGTTAAACGCAAGTTTGCAAAGACCATTGCATGATCAAATAATTAATGTACATAAGATGCATGAATATTGTAAGAGTAATATAAAAGGTATACACCTTTTTTTCATCAGCAACATTGAAATGATTAAACTGCGTGAAGAATTATTTAAGCGATTGCAGCATGCAAAAACAGTTTCAAGTACAAGAAGTATGCTTATTTTTCAACCAGAAGGTAATATGCAAATCATAGGAAAAAGGGTAAGTACTGATGCAGAATTTTCCATCACTGCCTGTTTAGATTCCAGTACTACCAACAATTTTGATGTTTCATCTGTACATAGCTATGTGGCACGTGTTTATGGTGCAAGTTGGTATATTGAAATGGTTTTGAAAGTTCTTGTGGGAAAGGATACGCTACAATTAAATTCATGCATCTACATGGCCCATCCCTTTCATATTATTGGCCAAAAAGTGATAGTTGCATAGTTTCTTTTACAAATATTCTTTGTACAGTTGTCATTAACACCACAACAGGAAGAACATACGAGCTCAATGATGAGTTAAACATTACAGTGTGTAAACAATGGAAAAAATATTTTTCTACAACAGGAAAATAGAACTAAGGGCGCCTGATTTTTATTGAAAGTTTTTGAACTAATATTGAATTTTTTTTAAAAATTTTTTTAACAGAAATTTTGAAATTCTTTACTTTTAATGTATTTACTTTAAAAACTATAGGCCAACTCATTCAAAATATATGTTCATTTTAAAAAAAAATTATAATCATTATGTTGTTGCTATTCAGAATGAAATCTGCTATTAAATAATTCCTTTGAAAAAAATTTTGAGAACCGTCCATTAAATTTTTTATATCAGATGTTGGTTTGCACTATTAATTATCTTCGCCTAAAATATTTTTGAAATTGAAGGGGGGCGAGTTGCCTGAAATCAGCTCCTGAAGTTAACTCCGTTGATCAAAAAACTGCAAAATAGACATATTTACTTAACATGTAAGATTATTATTTGTAAAAAAATATGTTTAAATGTTATTACTTTATTCTTTTGACATGTATGTTTAAATGACAGATTTCTTTATTCTGAACAAAATTTTAAAAAATATTATTCTATGACAAATATAAGGTGAGTTACAGTTATTAATAGCCTTTGATGTATGAATCAAAATGGCGACATTGGAGCCAGTTTGGCAGAAATATAAATGCTTATAACTTTTAAACCCTTTTACCGATTCCAATAGAATTGATATTTTTTAAATCAGCAAAAAAATTCTACAAGTGTTCAAATTTTCATCAAAATCTGAGATGGTAGGTGCCATGGCTGGATAAACTGACATGGAATGACTCATTTCGAACATTTACCAAAGTGATTATGTGCTTGGCAACATTCACCGATGGAAGTCAACAACCACCAATTTCATAACATATATATTATATTTCAGTCAGCCTCCAACTAAACAAGCCATTCATTGCTTTGTTGAATGATTTGGGGGTGCGCCACAGGACGTTTTTGAGATTGCAAGAAAGCATGCTCCGCAATTTGACAGACATGCTATTCGAAGAGAGACAAGCTGCCGAATTTTTGGCTTCCAAAACACCTTCCGAGATTTTTAAGTACAAAGAAATATCTAGATCTGGAATTTTTCTTACGACAGAACCTTTCTTCAGGTCGCTGTTGCTCGCTCTTCATCGTCATCACGTTGGTAAGAATTTTACGACATATATTAATTTAATTTTCTCATTCATTCAGAAGATGTTCATTTTTTCTTATCAGGAAAATCAAATGTTTATGAATTCAGGAGACGTATAAACGGGGATTGTTGATTTAAAACAGCTTAAGTCACAATTAAAATTATGACTTCATTTTTTTTATTTTTAAATTTATTTATTTAAATGAAATTTTTTTTAAAGAAACCATTGATTTAAGAATTTACAAAACATTTCCTTTATTGAAAAAAAGTGTTTTCTTTTAATTTTGTTTTTAATAAGTATAATTAGTTTAGTTGTGCTAAAAATATAAAGAAAACATGGAAAGTAATAAAGACTAGTAGAAAAAGAAGAAAAATTATTTAAAAAAAACTTTAAATTTATTATTTATATATATATATAACGTCGTTGCCGAGTGCAAGGATTATAACAGGTCTTAGGCTGGGAAGGAGGGTACAAAATTTATTTATTAATTATTAGACAGAGCAGTCATGAAAGTGTGTAAAAGTGAACACGAAAAGTTACGCTCCTCGGTTATATGTTAGGTAAAATCTTGCAAAGTAAAATCCGTAAAAATTTTCAATTTAGGGAAAGAGGGAAATCGTAGTAGTTGCTATTGGTTTATGAAATAGATCAAGCGTTTCCCACAGAGAGCAAAGGGAAAAATGTCCTGCTTTTAATAAAATGCATGCTTGAGCCAAAAATAGATTTAAGAACAGGATGTGGCTTTTAAAAGTGTGAGAAAGTATTTCGATTAGAATAATCATTAGGATAACATTAAAAGATTAATAGAAGCTTTTTATGTTACATATATAATATTAAAAAGCCGGAAAACAAAATGATGTAACGATATAATCTCTTCATCAGCAGTTATCCGCAAAGAGGAGTGCTTTCTAATATTTTATCAATATATGCAAAGCAAAATATATCAATACAATAGTGTGAGGAGCACTCAAAAAAATGAAACAAAAATAGAGCGCATGAAGTAAAAAGTATTTATGATATAAAACATATCAAACAAAAAATAAAATGTAAGGAAAATACAGAGCAAAACGAAATCTATAAAGCGAGTAGCGAATTCAAATGAACTTTCACGTATCGGAATCTTCCGAGAATGATTTAAAATATTTTCCTTTTACAGTTTACAAAATATGAAAAAGAAGCGCAAATTGAGTTAAAAGCGTACATTGAGGGATTTTGTTTTATAGCACATTTTTACTGCAGCCCGTACAGTAGTAAATGATATCCTTCTCTTTGTAGAGAATATCAAGAAAGGAGCAAATATTATAATTGATCCCAGCCTTGGACGAAATATGTTGGGGGTACTAGATGAAACAGGATTGCTACAAGAAGGAGAAGTATTTGTTAAGTACACAAAAGACATTTCAAAAGGTGAAACAACACAGGATACCGTCACATTAAGAGGTAAATATGGATTTCATTAACTTCCTTTAATCCATTTTTGAATTTCTAATGAATTAGTACTTCATTTCCGAAGACATATCGATGTCAATGTTAACAAAATCATGCTACTATAAAGAGGAATTTTAAGTTTCTAAAAAAAAATTTTTCTTCATTTAATTCAAAATGCAGAATTCGTAGCTGTCCTTATTTTCCTATTAAAAAATACTTTATCCTTATTTGTCCTGGAATTCAGCTTTTGGTTCTGTAATTCCTGTTCCTTTTTTTTTTCTTTTTTTTTTGTGTGAGTGTCTGTCTGTGGAGCATCCCAGTTTCTAAGAATATAAATGCCGATTTTTACTAAATAGATTTGAAGAATCGAAAGATTTAGATTTTTGATTCCAACATGTTTTTATTTTTTTAACGATTTTAGTAGAAATTGAAAAATTTGTTTCGGGGCTGTTTACTGATTATATACACGAATCAGAAATAAAGCCTTACCCACAGAATTCATTGTTCCAACCATTTTATTATTTCAGTCATTCTATAAAACGGAAACTTGATTAACATTTTACATTTTCGATGATGAACGCTGAGGTCATATGTTAATTTAGCAAATGCAATAAAAACTCTTTATATACCGGAAACCTAAAAATTTCTGTTCTTAACAAAACAGTTCTGATGTTAAAAATAATATGTTTTAATATTCTTCAGCGGTAAAATATGGCTTTATTACAATTGTAGAGCAAATTATACTTTTTATGTTTTCCTTTTCTGACTCCCGGTGGCTGAGTGGTAGCGCTTCACTTTCCCGTGCCACAGGTCCTGGGTTCGACCCTCGGGCCGGGCAGGGTTGACTCAGCCTTTCATACCTTCAGTGGGTCGATAAATGAGTACCAACACTTCCGCGTTTGGCTGACCACCTGATCGGAACATCTGCTCTTGCACCTCAGAGCCCAAGGTCAAGAAAACTGAGATGGCACAGTAGGCTTTGGCCCTCTATGGGCTGTCGCGCCACTGAGTTAGTTTTCCTTTTCTAAAAGTAGTTTGGTATATAAAGGGTAGAGTGGGGTAAAACAATGTCGTGTGGTGACACCGGACACCTCGATTGTGTCGAGATTAGTTCTGTTTCCTAGCAGACAAACTCTGAATTACAATTTACGGCCAAGAAGAAGGATTTTCCATTTTGCGTGATAGTGTTGATTGATTCATGGCGTATGCGTATATTAGTTTGTTTTTCTACATCAGAGTTCTCGAATATTTTCTCGTTTTTAAGCAATCCTTATTTATTGGTCATTACAGTTATAGAAATTATTTTTAGTCCAGCCGATTATACGTTTATTAAAGATTCATACCTTACCTAACAGACAATAAAATGTCGGCCAACAGTTGCTCTGTTCTGTTTCGTTTCGATAATCTCTGCTTTCTGTGAGAGGGAGGAGACCGGATCATTCACCCCTCCCTTTCTATGTCTGTCTATACTGAGCCTATGAAAGCTGCAGTGCTCAAGAGGAATAAGATTGACTATCGAAATGGTCTAAAGGTGGCGTAGAACAGAACTCTCTACCTGTATACACTTCGCATGCTTTCACCATTAACGTGTGGATAGTCATAGGAGAAAGGAAAGTACGTTGGTTTCTGTCTTGATTTTTAGGTAGATTAAAATTTTTATAATTAGAAAATGATTATGGAACTGAAAACTACATTGAACATAGTTCTAAAAAAACGGCCGTTAAAATTTTAAAATATTTTTGACAATTAAATGCGAAAAATATTCAGAAAGAGGAAAACAACATATTAAATTCCCATACAACTGTGAACAGGAGAAGAGGGAATAAGCTGAAGATCTCAGACATAAAACCAGTCTTCTTCCCAGATGACATATTCGAGCGTTGCGATAGCGAATAACTACATCCTAAGCTTAACAACGATTTTACGTGCCCGAGTATAAAATTTATTGAGGGACCCTATTTCAAAGCACCAACCCGTTTTATTTTCATATTTTGTAGAATTTTTGAAGAGCCTTTATACAGAATTGTAAACCTTATATAGATTTAAATAAATTCTCTGAATTTTTTTTTAAAATTATAAACACTATATTTTTTGTAAGAAATTTGATCAGGACTTCAGCAGTCCCTGGTCCTGGCGCTATTATAACAGGGGGCGTAGCGTTTTTAGAAAGTGCTTAAAGGTTCTAATTTTTAATTTACGTTTCTTAAAAGCCCTTAAAGAAGTCCTTTTTTATTTGGGATTTGTGAACAGTACTTAATTTTCTATCTTTTAAAAATAAATTTTTTCTTCATGTCGATTGTCGTTCTAAATTACAAAAAGTGCATGATTTTCGCAATTTTCTCTGCAATATTTATCTAACTTCTGAATTTCTCACTCACTGTATTTTGTTCGTCAGAAATCCGAATTCGTCTAAAAAAGGTATGTCTATTCAGAGAAAGTACGTTTTTGGGTCTAATTTCGTAACTTAAAATATCGCCTGCATTACTTAATTAGAATATTTGAGGTTACCCCTTCAAACCTTTAAGATGATTGAGTCCTGAACGCGAAAATCCGATTATTAGATCAAAAATTATTCATGGTGGTAAATTTTTTATTTTGCATACTGTACAGTGCATAAAATAAGAAACGGATTTTTGTGCACTACCAAGTGCACAAAACTCGAACTTAATGGTTCGAGGGACAGGCATCATATCGGTTCAAAGTGTGACTGTTAAATTTAAGTCCCTAAATCAAACACAAACGCATTTTCTCTGACTAAGCAAAACTTTTTGGAACGGATTTCTCACCTTCTAAATCTCTGGGATAGTCATTAAAAAAATTTATTGAATCATTAGATATCTGTCGAACCCACTTATAATAAGCGTGAAGGAAACGTAATATTCGGCAATTACGTGGAAAATCGTAAATATGCAACTTTTTTAAGGCTCCTATTCATGACGCTATTTAAACAGAAAAATCAGAATGCGCGAAATCGATCTGCTAGGATTTAAAATGTTTTCTTTTTGGAATTCTGTGCTGGAGGTGTTGCAAGCTGCCTTTCTGAAAAAGAGACCAACTTTTTTGATCGCCACAGACCAGTCAAAGTTCGATAATTTTACCGGGGCCCCGCCGAGGACACGGGGGCGTTGATTTTTTATATTTTAGATTGATTTAATAATTTTAATTTAATCGTTTTTAAACATACCTTCAAAATGAAATACGGTATCGGGGAGGTGTCTTGCAGTTCCCGGTTAACCCCTCATCCATACAAACCTCAGAGAAATACACCTCAGTAAATAAAATAATTTGTTGTTCCTGTTCCATTTGATCTTCAGCTGAGAGACTTTATAGTACTAAAGTTAGGAAAGCAGCTCCAAAAACCTTTTTGTTTTCTCTTTCAAACTGCCTTTTTTTAATAATGAAAATCTAGGTAATTTTTTTCTCCAGTTTTATGTAATCTTATATTCATTCAAGGTGTGAGTGAAAAAGAGGGACGCAGTTGTTCTGAAAATGTCTTGGGCCCTTCATTAAAAATAAATGTCAGCAAAATAATTCCTGTGAGTGTATCCTTCTTTTTTTTCAAAAAAAAATTAACACTCTGTGCCAAACGATCACTGCCAAATTATCCCTAATTTTTTATTTTTTATTCTTAATTATTACTGGACCAGGAAGCAGAAATAAATCCTCCTGCACGACATCCGGCGCTGACGATTATCATAGCATCTGCAAATTACTTTTCGTTTCAGAAAAAAAATACCCCAACATCTGAAGAATATTTTTTTCATCTCAAATTTTTAAAAATCGAGCTTATATCGTCATTGAAAAAGAAAAACAAAGAAATAATTTTTAATTCCTAAACTTACTCAATTATTCTTTGTTTCAGGTTCGATAAAATTTGTTTGCCAATCTACAGATATGAAAAAGGCAAATGATGACTTTAAAAAAATCCAAATAATATTCTTTAGTTAACTGGAATTTCGGAAAATGAAGAATTAAAAAAGACGATAAGAATTTAAAAAATTATTCTTTATCTTCAAAAACTCACTTTTTAAGAATTCCATTATTCCAAAGTGTATAAGAAAATATAACTAAAAGAACAAATTTTTAAAATTTTTATCCACTTAATGTCTGTAAATTTTGATTAGGCCTAATTTTTACAATGCAGACAAATTTGAATTAAGGAAGATAGTGCTGCAGATTGACTCTGATATGAAAATATTTGTTTGTTTATATTACTTCCTGTATTTATGAAAGGTGAAGTGTTAGTGACCAAAAATCCGTGTGTTTTGCCTGGAGATGTGCGGAAGTTCACTGCTGTTGATCGAGCTGAAGTATCACGAAGACTGGGACATATTGTGGATTGTATTGTATTTCCTCAGAATGGAAGGAGACCTCATCCTACCGAAATGTCTGGTGAGTCTTTTTTTTTTATTTCATCGAATATTAATTAAAAGAAGAATTTAGTTTATCACATTTTTAAACTGTACATTTTTGGTGAAAAACTTCACTATTCCCTTGATGTTTGTACAGAAATTTAGTGTCCATCTAGTTGTGCGAAAACGTTTTAGTACCCATCAGCAAACAGTACTATCGAACGGTTTGATGTCAAAATGTATCCTTTGGAAAAAAGGAGGTCTTCCTTCCCTTCGTCGTTTGCACCTCAACCAATAAAGCAGATAAATGTATGATGCCACCATTCATCTGTATTGAGTTCAACGACTCGCCACTACTAGATTGTGTATTAGCGTCAAACATAACTCTTTTTAAGTTTCGTCAAAGGAGGGAAAAACACTCAAGTGGGAAATGAAGTATCTTCATCTATCTCCTTCTCCACCACTTGCATGTGTGCTAACTTTTTCTTTTCAAACATAAATTCTTTATGGATGGTGTTTTCAATATAAATGTAAACAACACTCTCGAGCTCTCGATCTTCCTTACTTCCGGTTAGAAAGTATACAACTGCTTGCTACTACAACTTATTCTGCTAGGCGATATTTTCAAACAGATAGTTTTGTTTATAATAAAAGAAATAAATTATATAATTTCTGATCTCAACTTTGCTGTATTTCATAAGATATTAAACAATTCTGGTGAGATTGAAGTGACAATTTGTTTTAGTAATTTAGAGATGCAATGCTATAAAAGGTGACGCAGTTGCTATATTTAGAAAGAACTCGCTTTTTTGGCAGATCTGATTTGGCCTCTTTTTACTTGTTTATTACTGTTTGTTCTTCCTGCAAATCGTGCACTGTCATACGTTACTAGTGATAGCGTGTTGTTCGAGCTGCGAGTTCTTTTACAAATTATTTCGGTTTAAATTTCGAAGTTGGTATATTGCTGACAAGGTAAGAAGTGTTTTATAACGATTATTTATTTCAGATGACGATTCTTACTTCTTAAAATGACTGGTCTTCAAATGATGATTCTTCTTTGAAACATAAATAATAAATCAGGTAACAAATACACGTATACAAGAAATGCAACTCAAGAGAGTCTCAAAATACAATAATCACGTTGTGAGCCAAATGGCTTCAAAACACTAAAAACAGTAACCCGGAAGTGTAGGCGGTCAAGAGCTTGCAACGCCCCAAATGAAGGAAACACATCCAAACCAACTGCAGAGTTCCAAATTGCTGTTTAATTTTCTTCAAACTGAATCTAATCTTTTTAACGCTATTTCCTTAGAATTATTTAAACACTAGATATTTTTTTCAAATGACCACACACATCTCTGTAATCCACGTCTCTGTAATGGGTTTTTTTTCTTCCGAAAAAAATGATTTTCCTCATCTCTTTTTCGGTGTGTATCTTCAGCATCAGATTCGAATTAACAAAGTTGGGAAGTTAGTTGATCTAAATCATTTAGGAGTATATTTACTATGTTATCAGGTGTCTGTCCAGACATTTTGTGAAAGGTCCGGTTTTCGTGAAATTGTGAAAAAATTACTCCCATTCTTTCAACCAGGGTCCGCTTTTATGAATTTGTACAAATAGGGTCCGGTTGTTGCAAAAAACTTTTTCAAGGTGTTTTTAAATTGTAAATAGATACAAGATTATGCTGGGCACTGTAAAATTATCATTAAAAAAATTAAATTTTCAAAAATAAACAGCCATTGCTGCTTCTAAATTAGAGATGCAACATACAAATATTTGGTATTTAGCCTGTACTGCTGAACGCAGAATATTCATTTCGGATGGATAATGGAAGAATCGTCTGCCGAAGACAAAACTTAATTCGTTTACATCCACCTTTCTTGTTTTCTGCCCTGGGACGGGTTTATTCGATTAACAAAATAATAATGAAGATAAACAAATTTGTGAAGGGTTCGATTAAAAGATAAATTATTTTGTGAAGGGTCCGTTTTTATGAAAAGACATTTTGTGAAGGGTCCGTTAACGAACCCAAATTTCTTCTAAACAGACCCCTGGTTATGAAATATATTTACTATGTTAGTTATGATTTCCTAATTGTGTCTATTAATAACATATTAAGTAACTTAATGTTTGACTTATTAACAACTTTACATCATCAGTTTGCAAAGATCAACATCTGGTTTAGAAGTCTTAGGCCCACCCTGATCTGTCATGCCATGATTGATGATGACACAGAAGTTATTTTCATCGAATTATAAGTCATTCAATTTTATAACCGTTTTAAAATTGAATTCATGATTTATATCTGTGGCATAGATGTATTTTCAATGAATAAGTAATTCAAGTTGTGATTATTGCAGGTTCTGACTTAGATGGGGACGAGTATGCTGTTTTGTGGTTTAAAGATTTGATTTTTCATGCCCCCAATCACCCGCCTGGTGATTTTCCAAGTGCTTCCATTCCAGACAAGGCAGTTATTACTGTAAGCTTATTTCAATTATTAATATTAATTTTAGGAATAAATTAAAGAAAAGAGAATAAACTAAAAATGTAAATCGACATTCCTTTAACTTTAACAAACTATTTTCCTTAAATCGTGCTTGCAACAGAAAGTTGGTCTACAATTATTCATGTGACCAAAGTTTTAAGTAAATTGAGACAAAACTGAATTGTCGATCATAATCCGTATATATGACTTCAATCACTCTGAAAGGGCCCTCATTAAATTTAGAAAATTTCTTGCACTGGTTTTTCTTTAACACAGGGTTGAACCAGTATACCTCATCACCTACTTGGAAATTATATTGCTTGATGTTTTTGTCTCTACGAGCCTTTCTATTTTCCGCAGAATTTTCTAGATTTTCCCTCGCTGATGCATAAGTACTATGCAATTTACCAAGTAAATCTTTGGCAAAGTCCTCAGCACCCGCATAAGAGAAAGGTTTATNATCTGGTTTAGAAGTCTTAGGCCCACCCATGCCATGATTGATGATGACACAGAAGTTATTTTCATCGAATTATGAGTCATTCATTTTTATAACCGTTTTAAAATTGAATTTATGATTCATATCTGTGGCATAGATGTATTTTCAATGAATAAGTAATTCAAATTGTTATTATTGCAGGTTCTGATTTAGATGGAGACGAGTATGCTGTTTTGTGGTTTAAAGATTTGATTTTTTATGCCGCCAATCAACGGCCTGGTCATTTTCCAAGTGCTTCCATTCCAGACAAGGCAGTTATTACTGTAAGCGCATTTCAATTATTAATATTAATTTTAGGAATAAAATTAAAGAAAAGAGAATAAACTAAAAATGTAAATCGACATTTTTTTACCTTTAACAAACTATTTTCCTTAAATCGTGTTTGCGACAGAAACTTGGTCTACAATTATTCATGTGGTCAAAGTTTTAAATAAATGGAGTCAAAACTGTATTGTCGATCATAATCCGTATTTAACGTTAACGATAATTATGTTGTACATTGTATTTATTGTAAAACCCATAATTATCGTTTGCGATAAGTATCGTTGAAACTATTGATTATTATGTGATTAATATTCCTGACGTAGCCCTCAAGATAAGTAGCAGTGATGATCTTGTTGTTGTGTCACACAATGGTTGATCTTAATCGGATTATCAATCTCTTGAGTACTCTGATTATTAAACGTAACAAACAACGATTATTATCAATAGCCGTATTCCATATGCGAATATACATATTTAAAATTTATGAACTCCTGATTTTAAAAAATTATTCCTCAATAAATAAACAAAACGAAAAAATTACTCTTTGAGAGTAATAAAAGGACCGGTTTGTTAAGTTTTTGTCAATTTGCAGAGCAGATAGCACCGTCTAGATTTGATTTGATTTCTTCATTTACGTCGCACTAGCGCTGCACAATGGGCTATTGGCGACGGTCTGGGAAACATCCCTGAGGATGATCCGAAGACATGCCATCGCAATTTTGATCTTCCGCAGAGGGGATGTCACCCACGCTTCGGTAGCCCGACGACTTGCACGTGAAGTCGAGCACTTTACGGTAGAACAGTTTAACGAGGACCAATACCGCACACCCTCGGTAGTGATGATCTAGGTAAGAGCACTATCACACAGCATCCATTACCAAACTCTTAACACTATTCTCCGATTGGGTACTTAAATCCAATATTTATGTCTTTCATGAATTGTAGAATATTGTAAAATGAAATGAAAAATTGACATTAATCTTCATTAGTAAACGAACCTAAATCACCTGACAGTTTGATCATCCCTGAGCAACATTACTAATTTTTAAATCACTGTCAACAATCACATGAATGCTACTTTAAACTAGACTGCTAGATGACATTAATCTTCAGTAATAAACGAACTTAAATCACTTGACAGTTTGATCATCCCTGAGCAACATTACTAATTTTTAGATCACTGTCAACTATCACATGAATGCTACTTTAAACTAGACTGCTAGATGACATTAATCTTCAGTAATAAACGAACTTAAATCACTTGACAGTTTGATCATGCCTGAGCAACATTACTAATTTTTAGATCACTGTCAACTATCACATGAATGCTACTTTAAACTAGGCTGCTAGATGACATTAATCTTCAGTAATAAACGAACTTAAATCACTTGACAGTTTGATCATGCCTGAGCAACATTACTAATTTTTAGATCACTGTCAACTATCACATGAATGCTACTTTAAACTAGACNAATCTAAACTCATTCTCGATGATACCGGCTCAGAACATACTTCTAACAGCCATGATAGATCCTGTCAGCGGTGATGTTTCAACTCAACATTCCATCGGGCACGATCCGCACTCCCGTCGTACTACTTTTTGAGCCACTCTTCTCGCCTCTTATACTTTTCTCAGCAAGGCGGAATAATCCATACTGACCTGTTTACTCGCTCAAAAGTCATCCCGCATCCAGTGGACGTCAGAACAAAAAAAATCCATAAGAAAAACCAGCTACATCCCCACTAATACGCCATAAAAGTGATAATCCAAACCTCCTTAAATGTTAATACAATTTATATCCACAATCTACCCCAAAAATACAATTTTAAAAGGATCAATAAAAATTTCTCCCAAAATATAATTTTGATTGCATTTAAATTTTATCATAGTGGTGCCATCTATTGAAAAATAACCCTTCTTTAAAAAGTATTCATACAAAAAAAACTCCAATAAATTCCTATTTATTACAAAAACCCATAATTATCGTTTGCGATAAGTATCGTTGAAAAAGATCATTATGTGATTAATGTTCGTGACGTGGCCCTCGAGAAATTATTTGTTTGTTACACACATAACAGTTAATTTACAAATTTAAAAGTTATAAAAATTAGAGACCATTGCGAAATTACAGGGTGATGCCCCCTATTCCGAAGTTAAGTAGCTGTGATGATCTTGTTGTTGTTGTTCATTTACGTCGCACTAGGGCTGCACAATGGGCTATTGGCGACGGTCTGGGAAACATCCCAGACCGTCGGACATGCCGTCGCAATTTTGACATGCCATCGATCCGTAGACATGCCATCGCAATTTTGATCCTCCTCAGAGGGGATGGCAACCCCGCTTCGGTAGCCCGATTACTTGCCCGCGAAGTCGAGCACTTTACGGTAGAACAGTTTAACGAGGACCAATACCGCACACCCTCGGTAGTGATGATCTAGACAAGAACGCTATCACACAGCATCAATTACCAAACTCTTAACACTATTCTCCGATTGGGTACTTAAATCCAATATTTATGTCTTTTATGAATTTTAGAATATTGTAAAATGAAATGAAAAATTGACATTAATCTTCAGTAATAAACGAACTTAAATCACTTGACAGTTTGATCATGCCTGAGCAACATTACTAATTTTTAGATCACTGTCAACTATCACATAGACTGCTAGATGGAAAATGATCGATACGGTCGTCTCCTCGACGACACGGGAAAAATAAGGATTATAAGCGTTTTCCGGAATGGCTTAGACCTGTCAAACGCAAGTATTTTCTGTTCGATTGCTGTATTTTAACTTTCTCTGAAGGAAGAAAAAACTTTTTTATTTACATTAAAAGAAAGTTCGTTTTTTTTTCTTTTTGCTTTTAAAACCATTTGAAATTTGTGATAGCGCAACTTCTTGTTCCGAAACCGAATTATTTCTTTCTTCACTTCTCATTGGGGCGGTCACAATGGTATTTTTGTTTTGATTTTGTCTCTGGGTTCACTCCGTGTAACTTGGTACATTGATTTCTTGTGACAAACTTAACATTTTAAATTAATTTTCCTACTCCTTGACTTAGCTAGAAAACTGAGACAATTAAAATATAAATGATCCCTTTTCAATAAATTTAAATCGATCACCTGTTAGTCAAAAAAAAAACTAATTAAAAATAAGGGGTCCAAAATTCGGAGCGCTCTCCCGACCAAACTATTTGCACCAATTTCCCAAATTGCGGCTACCCCCACATTTTGGTATTCAGAAATCCTAATTCGTCAAAAAAAAGAAAAGGTATGCTTATTGAGAGACAGTACGTTTTTTGAGTTTGATTTCCTAAAGTGTCTTCTGCACTTATTTAGCATATTTGAGGTCACCCCTTCGAGCCACTAAAATTGAGTTCTAGAACGTGAAGATCTGATCATTAGGTCAAAAGTTATTCAGAGTGGCCCGTTTTTTTCTGCACAATGTACAGATATCGGATTAAAGTGTTAAGAAATTAACGTGTTGGTAACAAAAAAGCGTAGCTGGCTGATACCTTCTGATATAATGCTTCTCTCTCCTGCCTTAATTATGAAACATCATTAAAACTAAGAATTATTTAATTATTTTTAAAAAAAATCATACATTAATATGCATAGTTGTAATAAAAATGTAGTTTTCAGTCTGTTTGTTTCTATGAATTGTCCACATTCACCTTTTCATTTCTGCCCAACTTTTCAGTTTGTTTTGGCTTTTCGTTACCAACGTGAGAAATTAATTCAGAACACGTATGAAACACTAAGGGAATGGTACACGTTCAGAACACTAATTCAGAACACGTATGACACACTAGGGTTGGTTGGTTGGTTAAGGTTTAATGGCACAAGAGCCAGAATGACACACTAGGGAATGGTACATGTTTAGAACACTAATTCAGAACACGTATGCTCAATCGTTCATATTTGTTACAGTCTGTTTGTTTCTATGAATTGTCTGCATTCACCTTTTCATTTCTGCCCAACTTTTCAGTTTGTTTCGGCTTTTCGTTACCAACTTGAGAAATTAATTCAGAACACGTATGAAACACTAGAGAATGGTACACGTTCAGAACACTAATTCAGAACACGTGTGCTCAATCGTTCATATTTGTTACAGTCTGTTTGTTTCCATGAATTGTCCGCATTCACCTTTTCATTTCTGCCCAACTTTTCAGTTTGTTTCGGCTTTTCGTTACCAACGTGAGAAATTAATTCAGAACACGTATGAAGCACCAGGGAATGGTACACGTTCAAAACACGTATGACGCACTAGGGTTTCGGCTTTTCGTTACCCACGCAAGAAAGGAATATTAATTCAGAAATTTGTAAACACGTATGCTTAAACGTTCATATTTTAACTGCTCACTCACGTAATAATATTTCATTTTTCAGTTCTTTGTTGCCGACGCAGAAAAAAATTCATGTGTTTTTTAACAATCCACATGAGCATTATTTTTTTAAAAAATGTATTTATTTTGTATAATTTAGATTAGTGTTTCTATCGAATGATTTTTTGCAGGTGGATGACATGATTGAATGTTTAATCAATTACATAAAAAATGATCAAGTTGGAACAATTGGTCATGCACACCTTGCTCATGCTGACCAAACTAATATTTTCTCCGAAATTTGCATCGATATAGCTAAAAAAAATTCATATGCTGTCGATTTTGCCAAGACTGGTGTGAGTAAAAATTTAGATCAAGAAGAACGTCCAAACGTTTTTCCTGATTTTATGGAGAAGTACTACAAAGAGACGTACAAATCAAAGAAAGCACTCGGAAAAATGTTTCGTGTGGTTAAAGACTTCGAGTCCGAGAATGAATATGCTAGCATTACGTACCGCGATGTACAGGTAAGCATTTGTACACCAGTTTCGTTTTTTAAAAAATAGAATTCTCGCTTCTCGCTCAATAACTCAATTCTTATACATCATTTATTTTTTATTTTCACAGAAGTCAACATTTTCCGCAAAAACAAAAAACATTTTGTTAATCATATAATGAAATGAGCGATTACGTAGATTTGACAAGTAATCATCTGTATTTGAAAAAAAAATTAACTAAGGTAAACAGAAAGTATGATATTATCAAGGTAGTTTCATTTTATTGAAGATGTTGATTAAGTTTATTCTAGAGTGATATATGCAAACAATTATGTATTAAAAGTCATAAATGGCTTTAAGCAAGAATCATTTATGAAAAATAAAACTCTTTTATTTTTGCAAATATGGAGCTCTATCAAAACGAAAAGTAATCTTCATTTTTAATATACTTTTGAATTACATACATATGAATAGCAGATTTTTAAAATGGCCCTGAGGTCAGGGCTTGCAGCCCCGTAGAACACCGTCCACCAAGAAATCAAAAATGCAAGTGACATGTATTCGTAAGAATAGTTTTTACCAAGAGAAGTTAAGGAATTAATTGTATGGGCTATTAATTGCCAAGGTTCTTTATCTTAGTAGACGTACGCATTCAAATATGTTGTCGGAAAAAAAAGCGTGAGAAATAATAATGAATCCAAAACATAAGCAACCATTAAACTGTTTTCGAATTTTGTGCTAATGTATTAGGCAGAGAATCTCTAAAAATAGATTTTTCTGCACTGAAGTTAAGGTTATTGAATTAAAAAAATTTCAGAATTATATTTATGATTTTTATTTACTGAGAAAAGGATTAAATAAGAACATAATTTATTAGTTTTAAAATATTAGGAAATATATTTCAATATGACAGTAAATTTATCAATATGAACGATGACATTTTGTTATCAAGTAGGCAACTTTTTTCATATCTCCTGAATTAAATTTGTTATATTTTTAAAATTTTCAATATAAATGTAAATTTAGATATTATATCTGGTAACGTCTAATTTCTCGTCTTTCGACATTAATCCAAATTCAGGAATATAAAATAATGATCTCAAGAGAGATTAAAATTGTCTACAAATAAGTTAGATAGTCAATATTTAAAGTCAAATATTACTTTGAAATAATCAATAAAGCTATTTATATTTTGTTTTTAATTTGTGTTTGCGGATTAGCGTGGTTCGTATTACGAGCTCGTAGAAATAATGTTGATCGGATTTTTGATAAATGACAACAAAAAGAATAAATTGCGGATTAATAATTAATATGTTTATTATATACTGCGCATTGGTCTATCTCGGTTGACGCAATGAAACCAACTAAGAAGTAACTTTTTTTTTATACCTCATAAATACCTCTTTTGTAACAAGTGAAAGAAAAACAAGCTGTTATACTTTAGAAATCACCACATCAGTCTGGTTAATATGAAGTGAATTTAAAACAACCTCAAAATAAGCTTTATAAATAAATGACTTCATACACCTCAATAAATACCTCACTCTTTTTAATTGAAATAAGGTAAATTTGTTCCGACGCTTCGAGCGCCTACAATCATCCTGCGTTCAAGCTAAGTTAAGTCACTTTTTTAGCCCATATCTCCGCGCGTAACACAGTGCAATTGATAGTTCACTTGCCTTACATTCCCTTTTCGTAGCTATCTCGCTCTCCAGCGGCAACAAAGTGATGCAATAGCTCATTTTGCATAAAACTATCAGGTGGTCATAATAGTTTAGACACTCAGTGTATATGCTTTAAAAGTTGCAATTTTACAGTTAAAAAAATAAAAGTTCAACTGTGCTTCAAATTATACCATTTCTTCCCCTTTTCCAAAAACTTACCTTATTATTGCGTGAGCTGCAAATCATGGGCACTTAGTAGGTAATTGTACATAATACGTTAGTTGTGTTTTTTTTTTAAACACATCCTATAATTTTTTTTAACAATTTTGCTTTTCTTTTCAATGAAAATGTGTTAAACAAAAAAGAAATTCTTATGGATTTGGGAGTTATTTACCACATTTATAATTTATTTTGTATTCATTACTAAATAAATCTCAACCAGTGTTGTACTTCCTGTTAATTTATTCATTATTTTGTTGAATAGGTAGACCAAGATTTAATATTTCCCGGATGGGAAACCTACAGAGAAGATGCTGTCAAGTCAAGGAACAAGTTCAACACGTTACTCAAAACTGTACTAAGAAACTACGGAATACAACACGAAGCAGAAGTATTTTCTGGTGCCTTCACAAACCTGCATTGCCGATTCCAGGAGAGAAAAGACAAAGCAGATATTGAAAAAATTGTTGTGCGATGCATCAAGAGACTAGCTAAAAGTATGCGAGAAGAATTTTTAGAAGAATTCAAGGAGTATAGTAACATCAACGAAGCTTACCTTGGTATGTTACACAAAGCTTCAGCTTGGTATGTTGTAACATATCGTGATGGTGATAGAAAAATCCTGAGTTTCCCGTGGACGGTATCAGACTACTTGGCAAACATTAAAGTTAAAAAGGTGCCTGCCCAAGAGTCATTGTTTTCTCCAATTGTTGCGAAAATGGACCAGCAAATTAAGTCCGTGGATTCTAAACGAAGTTTCTTGGAATCGAATGAATGGAATCGTTATAATTATCTTTGTGGTGATCCCAACATTGTCGAGTGCGCTTTACGCGTGTTGGTATCATGGGCTGAAGACGAGGAAATAATTGAAATACCTGGTCGAAGAGTGGAAGGACTCATGTTCAAGAGTAGTTTTACAAAACTTTTCCTTCATGTTGCTGAAGTTTCGCAATATATAATTAAAAAAGGTAAACGATGTGACATACCAAAGGGAAAACTGTATTCCCCCGCTTCCTTATGCATTGAATTTTGGAGGTTCTGTGTCAAGTTAAGGTTTTATAATCAGTATGAGGTACTTCAAATCGTACCTTTCAAAGTATATAAATATAAAACTCTTTCCAAACGAGCTGTTGTGACCTATCACAGATTTGCCGTTTTGGGGGAATTCGAAAATTTGTACTTTGAGTCTGGCATGGCGCATGAAAAGATGGACATGAAACCATTATATATAAACAACAAGGTATTTAAGCGATCTCCAATCGACGAAAAATCACTGAAATTGGCTGAGAAAACTTTGATGAAGTATTCTTCCGCGGATAACGTGGAATTGAGGGAAATTTTACAGACGAAGAAAGTTCTTGTGAGTGCAAGAGGCGCCGAACAATCGTTAAAAACATTAAAGACCATTCTGGACAAAAAACCAGTTTTTATAGCTCAGTTATTTTCTACTGGTGTAATGCCTGAATCATAATTTAATACAACATTCACCAGATCGCGGATACATACATTACTCTTTAGGACTTAATGAACGTGTTTATTTTATACATATCTAAATGTTCATGTGCAGCCATGTCGCTCAACTAAAAGCATGATAATATTTCTTTTTATTTACATGATTTTAATACTTTGTCTTTTCTTTTACTTGAATGCTACTATCTTCCATTCTTTATTTTGTACGAAACAATTTTTTTTATTAACAAAAACCTATACAACGTTGCTTTAAATCCGTAATCTTGTCTTTCTTTTTCTTTTTTTTTGTTGTAATATCTACCCAAATTTTAAACAATCTAAATGAGAAATATTGGTAAAAAAAAAGGTCTTTTTTCCCGATATTTTTAAATTACATTACAAAATGCTGGTCGGGACCCATTAAAATATTACCGAACGATATTTTGGACATCTCTCTTGACAACAAAAATAAGCAAATCTCAACTTTCTTTCGTGCTTATAAAAGAAAGTCGGAGAACTCCCGTTTTGGTATAATTTTGATTTTAACTGTAGTAATCCAATTTTAAGACTCAATTCAAATGAAAGGTGTATTCTGGCATTAACCCATTCGCGTCCACTGTCACAATTGAATGCCATCCGGAAACGCTCTAATTTCCTGGTGGTGTGCTAGCTGAATATAGAGTGACATTAACATGAGTAAAACGAAACTGAATGAGTTTATAACATTATAAGTTTACGAAATGAGCTTGTGATTTTAAGATAATATTTTTGACTATGTATTGTTTTCTTTTTATAAGGTTTATTGTTTTCATTAGAGTAAGAAAATATGAATTGTGAATGCTTTGAAATATTCTTTCATTTATTATACATATAATTTTTTCAATTAAAAACAGTCATATTTATTATGTATAATTCATAGACCATTTTTTCATAATAAATATGTCTGATATATCCTTTAACACGTTTCAATATTTGTCTTAAATATTTTTTAAAAAGGTTAACTTTTAAAATAATGATCATATTTTAATGAATTAAGATACAAAATTTCGTGCCAGAGTACTGCATGTAGATAGATTACTTATTATACTAGTTTTTAAATCGAAACTAACTAGGATAAACCAACCAGTGAAGGAACATTTCATATATATTGATTAAAAATAAGAATTTGAAAGTTTTTCATGAGATTTATTGGTTACAATAGCTTACTGCCAAACAATAGGAAGTCATCTAGCAATGTTTTGGATTACCTGGTCACATAGACTTCTAATCCAGAGCTAAAAA